CTCAAGTTCACGTCCTCTTCGCGAAGCAGAAGCAGGCCGAGCTGGCGCAGCTGCAGACCGTCGTCACGGCGCAGTTGGAGGCGATTGGAAGGATTATTGCGGAGGATAAAGCAACAGGGTGAAGGGATTCTTGGGGAAGATGAAGACATGTATTAACGGAATGCGTCACACTGATCTGCCGTATAGACTGGACGAAAAAATACAATTCCCCCGCTTGTAATAAAAGTTCAAGATTTCTTCATACCATTGTTTGATTATATTATAACGCAAATCACGCCAACAAGCACGCAGGCGTCGTCTCAACCTCCCACTTCACTTCCTAGATCCCAGCCTCAGACTCCAGATCCCCACGTTACCAAAGTCACTGGCATTAAAAATAAGCTGGAGACATTACTTAGCAAGTTAACCACTTCACAGCATTTCGATGACACTTTTAAGCAAAATCTAGCCGCACTAGTAGAATCGGTGAAAGAGTTAAGAGCCACAGAGTTTGGCGAAGGAATCCATCCCAAGCTTCTCAACATAGTGAGAACAGCGATGACAGACTTCGACACACAATTAGATTACGCATATGTCAGTAGGTATTCCTGTCAAACGATAAGATGGACTAGAGTCAGTAAACCTAATGAGTTCACCGATGATGCCAAGAAATGTGCGAAAGTTCTAATGAGCATAATTCAAACATTCCACCGTGATTTGTATGGACTGTTCTATGACATAGACGATAACGACGCCGCTGCAGATCAAATTAATGCACATGCTGCCTTTCTAGGCGATGCTCTGCAAGACTACGGTTACATATTAGCAACGGAATTTGAGAAGCAGGACGGTGAATTGTTCAATGACAGTAAGACTAACGGCGAGAAAATTAAGACACTTCTCAGTGGGCTCACGAATAGCAAGAATGACAGCGTCCTTAATCATCTTAACAATTTCCTCACTTTATATTACAAGGTTTCTCACCTTAGAACCACGTCGTCGTCAAGTGCTAAATACCCCTGCACAGTTAGAGACATGTTGGCGTGGCTTGGTGGTTTGCCGTATACCACCGTGTCGACAAAAATTAAGCAGCATTGTAAAGACTTAATTGATGATGACAAATATAATAATGATGACATCCTTAAAACCGTGCTTACGAATATAGACCTTCGCGTCACTGCAGCCTGTAGAAATGCTTACGATGTCCTCACCGCAATACAGGGCCACGGTCACGGTTCGCAAACCGCTGACTACCCATATGCCTACAATTTACTAGACAATTATAAGAACTTCCATTATCCTTCGAAGGTTTCTGACTTATTAGATATGTTAATCCAAATATGTACACGTCTGCAGCGTTCACTCTACTTTTTGTATTCGCAATGTCAGAACACTTTAGGCGAAGGCAACGGCTGGCGTGATTGCTGGTACGGCGGGGGCATTGCACCATCAAATTGGCCATGTACCGACCACTCAACCGACAAAGCTACGTGTCAACCTAGGTGCCAGGCAAATGGCCAGCCAAATTGCAAACCAAACTGTCAACCAAAATCGCCTCTTCAGTCCTACCTAAACGATTGTCTTCCTGGTCACCTACCTCACAAATTATCTTCCATTGGTTGCAACTCTATTTGTTCGACATGTCCTACGACATCACCTGGACAGCAGTGCGTTACCCCGATGGGCTTTTGGGATCTGACCGAGTCGGCGTCCCATACGAAGCAGGGGAGTCATATATCCAATGTATTAAAAGTAATATGTGGCAATGCATCGTCAATTTTGCCCACATTACTGAACTATCTAACGCACATATCGCCGATGCCACCAAAAACGTTGGCCGATCAATTTTCATTCTTTACGAATATCTTCAAACAGTGGTCATCTGGGAGGTATAGTGAACATTTCGGCCTAATAGGCCATATGAAATCGAGTGCAATTCCGACAACATCTATAAATCTTTATGCCTCCAAAGCGGGAGAACTTACCCAGCATTTCGAATCACTGTCTGGTCCGAGATATGACCACAAGAGTAACGTTTACAGTGGTGTAAGCCACTCGGATCTCTATAGCCTTTGTATGCAGGTCGCGATACATTCCGATGTCACATGCTCAGCCGAAAATATGTATTGCGCTCCATATATGCAACCCCTATGCCACGACGCCAATCACACATATCCCAAGAAATTTGCAAAACTATATTTGTCGTGGCTCACTTATTTGGTCTTTGATTTCTACTCTTTGCTCAAATCGCTGCTCGATTCCTTCTGCGATATTGACTGTAAAGCTTGTGGATGCTCGAGATGTAAGTGCGCAGCAGGAATGCACGGTAAACCATTCCAGTGTACGTGCAAGAGTTTTGCGCACTGCCGTGGTGTACGTACTACACTCTACAAATATGGATTCACATTAGGAAACCCGAAAATATTGATTAAAAACCCAAATAGAAGATTTTGTCATACATTCTACGATCAATTTAGCAAGGTATTAAATTCCAAGTACTTCAAAAACCTATTTGAAGCTTGTAATGATTTCGTATTCAGAATTCGTGAACCCTTCATCTGGACGCTCGTAGCCCTCTGGTCGCTGTCGCTCCTCTACCTGCTGCACATCGCCGTCGTCCGCCTCGACGTCCTGAGGATACGCTCCCACCTGAGATCGCCCTCAAGCCACCGCATCGCCGCGCAGTCGCTACTCGCCGCCGCACGCGTCAAGGCACTCGCCAACGTCAAGTACTTCTCACCATAATCGTGCCTTCACCCACTCACTCACTCACTCACCCACCCACCTACTCACTCACTCAACCACCCACCCACCTACTCACTCACTCAACCACATACTCACTCACTCAACCACTCACATACTCACTCAACCACTCACTCAACCACTCAACCACTCAACCACTCAACCACTCACCCACCCACCCACTCACCCACTCAACCACTCAACCACCCACTCACCAACTCACTCAACCACCCACTCAACCACTCACCCACTCACATACTCACCTCCCTCTTTCACTGGTCGCTTCGCTCCCTGCCTTCACCCCCTCCATCACCTCCTCCGTCGGCGTCCTTCGCCCAAATCCTCATTTTCACCTTTCTCCCTCCACCTCCGAAACCGCCTCTCCCAACCCCTCTTCCTCCTTCGTCGCCCTCTTTCGCCCCTCCACTTCCCTCACCCTGTCCACCCACCTCCCTCGCTGCCTCCTTGACCTAGAATCGCCTTTCCCCAAATTCCCCCAAATCGCCCTGAAAATGTCCTTAATAATTCCCATAATTTACTTACTAACCTGTGCTCTGGCTTGGAGAAGTTCCTTGGTTACCAAGAAACTTCCAAAGGCTACGACGGCACTGGCATCGTGTACTCCGACCTTGACAGGCTGTGTGACGGGGTGATGGCGTTCTTGCACGGGGTGTTGGAGAGTGTTAAGGAGGATGAAAATGTTACAACTTATGATAAAAATAATGATATCAAGAATCTTCCTACTAAAATCGGTGAGTTTATGCATAATGGTTCTAATGATTTTCAGGATGCCATCACACAAGTGTCCGAGGCGCTGCGGGCGTGGAGCGGTGAGCTCGAAGAGCGAACCACGAAACTAACTGGCACTTTAGAATCACTTAGCACAAACATAGATTCTAATATTAGTAGTGTTGGTGAATTGCATGATTTTGATGTGGCGGCGAAGCAGTGGAGGACTGCGGTGGTGGGTGCCCTTGAGGGTACGTTGAGAGACGCCAGATTGGCGATTGAGAAACTTGATAATCCGTTGCAGGCAAAACTGAAGACAGATTTCGAGAACATTAAGGTACGGATTCATGATTTTGCAGATAATGCGAAACGGGACCAGGAGGAGCTGGTGAAGTTGAAGAGTACTGTGGAGACCGAGCTCGGAAAGCTGAGAGATGAGATCATTAAGGAGGCTAGAGAGAAATGTCAACACTGTATTGCTCTGTTAACGACAGCGTTTAGGAGTAATATTCAGGATCCAATAATGCAGGTTATAAGGGGATTCTATACGGTGAGGGATGATTTGGAAAAGTGGAGCAAGAAGGCCAAGGAAGTTGTAGAGAGGGCGTTACAGAGATGTACGGAGATTATTGAAAAGCTGAATGGTAGTGGTGCAGGGAGCAAAGGAGAGAGAAAGACCGTTGAGGATGCGGTGACGGCGCTGCATGATAACGCCGATAAACTTATGACGGCCGTAGAGTTTGCTAAGGTGAAATTAGGATTAGAGGCCGAAGCGACGCAAACGGCCTTAAAAACTCTGGACACGGCAATTAAAATGGATTTGAATTGTGTGAAGAATGCCATTAATTTGGGGATTAAGGAGTACGTTGAGAAGCTGGGTAAGGCTTTCAGTGAAGGTGCTGGGGCCGCAACCATGAGTCCGTTGGATACGAGTCGTAAGCCCGGTGTTGAAGCCTTCAAGAGTATGCTAAAAAATGGTGCACTGTACACAGTGCTGGATACAAGCAAAGCTGCGAGTGCCCCAAGCCCAGCATATGGTCTAGAGTGGGCTCTTCATGGGATGAGTACCCACTTAAATCACTATCTCAGGAACGGTTCCGATGTTGTCAGCAAAATCGTAGATGATTTTATGAAGCCTGTTGACGGCCAGTTGCCTAAAATTGATAATAGCCAGCTAGTGAACATTGACAACGTCCCGACGTTTTCCCATTACCATGGTGGTAAAGGCGATGGAGGCAAGAAAAGAGCCTTACATGATGCCATCGACCAAATAAAAATTGAGGTAAATAAGAGACTTGAGTCACCTGAAGTTAAAAATATAACAAACGATAAACTTGACGAAGCCCTAAAACTTGTCAACGAAAATCTCACCAAATTCACCAAAGCCGTTAAAGATGTGATTGACGATAGAGGTTGGGCACGGGGGTCGTCTTCCCCTGCTCCCGATAGAGGTGTGAAAAATCTGTTGCAGGATTTGCAGAAAATGGTTGATGATTCAGGAAGTGGAAATACGTACGGCATAGCAAAACGCCTCGATGAAATCAAGACAGCTATTGGTATAATCCTAAACAAGAAGGATGCTCCAGACCCAAAGAACACTCTGGAAGAAATATTCAGGCAAGCGGACAAATTCCACGACTCAACAATCCCCGGTGCAGTTAATGGATGCGTCTCCGGAATTATATCATCCCTCCAGAAGAAAGTTGCAGAAAAGATTGGTAACATAAAATATGAGGCCTTTAAGAGGTACGTTGCAAGTGCGCAGCAACAGTTGAGGGAGGTGCGAAAGGATATTGATGACAGAAGCAGTACGATCAAGAATACTATAGAAGACGACAAAAAGAAAGGATTGAAAGGCTTGCTCAAAACAATATATGGCAATACTGGCGCAAATGTGAATGCACTTAATAACCCCCCAAATTTGGCTGCCTTGGCTCCCAAGTTGGAAGTTTTCTTCATGCGGTTGATAGAGTACGCTAAGGACCAGTTGAAAACCCAACATGAATTCCCGAATAGGATAAAATCGCTAACCCTAGTTGTACAAAATCTATTCATGGGCTTATGCGACTCCCAACATTTCGATCACAAATCTAGTATGAATATCAACAGTATAAACAACGTTCTCAATGGTTTTTCACCCATTTCATTTGAAGGGCCTTCTAACTCAAAGCTCCTTGACGTCATTAAGAGGGGCCTACATGCGTTAGCGAATGAGTTACAGAAAGCCTATATAAACGTCTACGAGGGAGCAGTCAAAATCGACAGGTGGACAGAAACTCTGCCTGCTGACCAAGATGCCGCCCAAATTACAAAATTAACCCCCGACGGCAAAAACGGCGCTAAAATATTCCTCACCATTGCCACAATCCTGAATCATGAGATATCTTATCTACACGAGAAATGCCGAGACAAGTGGCGTAAGTATGAAATCATCGAAACCACTGAGCTTGGCAGGTACCTCCACCAATGCGGATACAGGGTGTCCAGCACCATAAGTAAGCAGAATGGCGAATTATATAGCAATGTGACTGGTGAAAATATCAAGCAGTTCCTGAAATCTCTCACGAAAACTTCCACTCTTAATCAGCTGGAAGCCCACCTCCAGAGTTATTACCAAGTCGGTCACCTCTCCACTTTCACCTCCACCAAGCGTCCGATCACCGTCAACCAGATGCTCCAGTGGCTCTGCGGTCTCTCTTACAATGGCGTATACGATCTGCTTCAACAGCATTGCAAAGTGTTGTACGATAAGGAAGATTACTCTGAAATGAAATCCATATTGAGAGATGCCGTCATGCATAGCTTGCCCAGATCATTAACATCTTCCCATAATTTGCTAATCACTATCGTTGGCACCGGTGATGAATACACAACCTACGCCTGCGACTACTACAGCAACTCACTGCAGTTGCACTACCCACAAAATGGAGAGAGTTGCCTCGAAATGTTGTTAGATATATTACGCAGATTGTTCCCTCCACTTAGATTCTTGCATAGCGTGTGTGGCCTAGGCACTGAGCACCACGGTTGGGGTCAGTGTTACTACGGCAGAGATATCTCATCGGTCAACTGGCCGTGCAAAGAGCATGTTGCTGACAAAGCAAACAGCAAACCAAAAAGTCGACCAATGTGCCAACCAAACAGCGAACCAAATTGCCAACCAAAATCCCCTCTACAAAGCTACCTAAACGACTGCCTCCCCGGCCATTTGCCACATCACCTTAGTTCTATAGGCTGCAAAGCCGAATGTGCCACATGCCCTTCCACGTCCATGAAGGGTATGCCCTGTCTAACCCCTCTTGGATTTAGAGGGTTTTCGGGGAGTACAAGGACAGGTAAACAGCTATGTGATATTCTGACCGAATTCTTCGACACCTTCGATCTTACATCCATGTTTTGCTTTTCTCCAAACCCACCGGCTACATTACCAGAGCATTTCTCATTTACGTTATCGCTTGTCAGCGGGTGGAAGGATAGTGGCGGTAACGCATTCCAAATGGCAATGGAGACATCCATGAAATACGTCTCCATCGAGTTGTACGAAAATACTATCGAACTGACTAGTGCACTTCGCGATGCTTATGGTAACAGCCAGCGCAACCATGAGGCTGCAGCACATCAACCTAAGAATGTTTCTCGCAACACTGATAAAACTGTATACGCCGATATTTCTAGTCTATCACTTGCGACGCCATGCTCCGGCAATTATCAATGTGCTCCGTACCTACTATCAGTATGCAACGACCCTTACAATTACCTTACCAACATACACTCCAAACTCTATCTCTCATGGGCCATATACTTGCCATGGAAATTCCACGATTACCTCAAATATCTGCTGGACGAGTTCTGCACTATCCTTTGCCAGGATTGGGGTTGCCATACGTGCCTTCACGGCAATAACTGCAAAAAGGGAAAACATGGCCTTGTTGATGAGGCCAGTAAATTGCCTAATTGCAACTGTGAATCCCTAGTACAGTGCAGAGGCGTGATGCCGACTCTATATAAGTATGGCTTCACATTTGGGAATGCAGTTGCATTGAACGGCAAAAACTCTCATAAGAAGTGCTCCAACTTCTACGAAATGCTAAAAAAAGTTATCGAATCAGAGCACTTCGGAACACTATTCAACAAGTGTGACGACTTCATCTGGGCCATCAGAACACCATTCACATACCTCTTATTAGCCCTCTGGTCCCTCTCCTTGCTCTACCTGCTGCACATCGCCGTCGTCCGCCTCGACGTACTGCGCATCCGCTCCCACCTGAGATCGCCCTCAAGCCACCGCATCGCCGCGCAGTCGCTACTCGCCGCCGCACGCGTCAAGGCACTCGCCAACGTCAAGTACTTCTCACCATAATCGTGCCTTCACCCACTCACTCAACCACTCACCCACTCAACCACTCAACCACTCAACCACCCACTCACTCAACCACTCAACCACTCAACCACCCACTCAACCACTCAACCACTCAACCACCCACTCAACCACTCAACCACTCACCCACCCACTCAACCACTCAACCACTCACCCACCCACTCAACCACTCAACCACTCACTCACTCACCCAGTCACATACTCACCCACTCAACCACTCACTCACTCACATACTCACTCAACCACTCACTCAACCACTCAACCACTCAACCACTCATCACCACTACTCACACAATCACGCTCACTCACTACCCACTCAACCACTCACCCACCCACTCACCTCCCTCTTTCACTGGTCGCTTCGCTCCCTGCCTCACCCTCCTCCCTAACCTCCTCCGTCGGCGTCCTTCACCCAAATCCTCATTTTCCACCTTCCCCCTCCACCTCCTAAATCGCCTTACCTCAACCCATCTTCCCCCTTCGTCGCCCTCTTTGGCCCTTCACTTCCCTCGCTTTGTCCACCCACCTCCCTCACCCCCTCGCTCCCTCCTTGACCTAAAATCGCCTTTCCCCAAATTCCCCCTAATCGCCCTGAAAATGTGCCTAAAATAATCCTTCAATAACATTATTAAATAACCTCTGCACAGGCCTCGAAAATTTTCTCGGCTACGAGAAGGGGAATTACACCGGCACTGGCATCGTGTACTCCGACCTCGACAGGCTCTGCGACGGGGTGATGTCTTTCCTTCATGGAGTTCTTGAGACTGTGAAGGATGATGATAACGTTACGAAATATGATGATAAAAACACTAATAAGAATATTAATAGCGTTATTAAAACATTACATGATAATGTAGGTAAAGGCCGTCAGGCCTTCCGTGTCGCCGTGTCTCAGGTAAGTGAGTGGTTGAAAAATCATGGTGCGCAGGTGGACAAGGCAACGGGAGCAGTGAAGGACAAATTAGGTGAGTTGATTACTAAATTATCATCTGGTGTTGCAGGTAATGAAAACTTCTACAATCAAGTGAAGGAGCAAGCCGAGCAGCCACTTGCCAGTCAACTGGCGGCGTGGAAGGAGACACTTAGTAGCATTTCTAGCGCACTTAGAGATGATGTAGAAACAAAAGTTAATGAGTTAGATAGCGCACTTAAAGGTAGAATAGAGGCAGAGATGAAGCCGATAACTAAGGTTGTCGAGCACATGCAGAACTCAGCTAGCGATGAGGTTAGGGCGGCCTGCCAGGGTGTGGATCGGCAGTTAGACGAGCGTGAGAAAGAGATAATGAGTCATATTACGGAAAACTGTGAGGGCCTGTTGGAGGCTTCGTATGAGCAGTTTGCAAATGTGTTCGAGAATGTTAATGAACTTCAACGAGCACGATCCGAGCAGTTTGAGCATATAAAAACCTTTATTAAATATGTTAACGATGCTGTTGCTGATGTTATTAAGAATTACGATAAGAATTATGAAGAACATGTTTCTACGCAGTTTAAGAAGATTAGAGACGAATTGCAAGACGTAGACACGGAGAAGAATGCTAAGGGTACTGCTCAAGCTACTTCGCACCTTCGCAAAATAGCCACACACGTTAAGAAGAATATTGAGACCCTCGACAACGATCTTAACAAGGCCGCCAAAAAACTCGGCGAATCCATTTGTGGAGCTGTCGATGGAGTGGAGGGTGCACTTAGTAAGTTGGATGGGAAAGTGCAAGGAGATTTAAACAGAATTGAAAATAGCGTCAAAAAACAGTTGACGGATTATGCGAAGGGGTATGTGAAGTTGGTTAAGCAGGAAGTGGAGAAGATTAAAAGGGGGGTTGGTGAAAAGGACGGAACAAAGAACGGCAATGATGGCAGTATTTGTTACAATTGGGATCTTCTAAAAGCGATATCAAATACACTTGTTAAAGCTATTAATGGCACCGGCTTGAATAGGTCCGGTCTGACTCAAATTGTCGACGGAGTAGAGGCGTATGCTAGGAAGTTCACGGAGGGGAACTTTGAGAGTACAGTTCAAAAGTGGATTGCGGATATTTTGACGCAGGATGTTGTAGCCAAGAAGTATGTTAAAGACTATGTTGAGTATAACAAGGGGCACGGTAAACAGCTGGTTAAGGTTAGCCAACTGCAAAGTACCATCGCCGAAGCAGCAGATATGCATCCTAAAATTATCGACGCAATTATGAAAGCGCTCCAGCAAGAACTTAATGGAGCTGGTGGCGAGGTTACAAGAAATATTCGAGAAATCACAACGCAAACGCCTGACAAGATTCAAAAGTACGTCCAAGCTGTTCAGGCTGGTATCAATCATTTTGTCAGTGGAATTAATGGGAAGCTTGATGAGACATCGAAGAACCCAGGGATGGAATCCTTTGTAGATGATATTGTGCGGAACATTGGGACTCAAGTTAAGGCAAAAGACGAAACATCATACAGCCCTTACACCCTCGTAGGCGCTGTTCGCGCCACCCTCATAACACTCTCTTCCACCGCCAGGCAAGTAGCTTCACAACTTGAAATTTTCAGGGCAACGTCAAACATCGCAAACGTCGAAGGGGCGATAACGAATGCCAACAAAATTGGCAAACAATTTGCAGACAACAGCGGCATTCGTCTCGGCCCAAGCGAATTTGGTCTGAAAATTCAGAGAACCCTGCCCATAGTGCAGCAACAACTTAAAGACCTCAGCAATAATCTCACCAAGGCGACTGGTGATGACTCCCTTACCTCCACGGAAGGTATTGATATTAAGAATGAAATTCATGAGACTATTGCGACAAAGATTACAGAGAAGTTCGACCGCCCGGTACAAGCAGGCGATGCAGGTCCGCGAATTTATGATCTTTCGACCGTCCTTCCAGAATATAATAGGTGGGTGAAAGGCACTGACTCCGATCCCAATAACCTCAGGGCCAAAATAGACAAGATAAAAAAGGACCTAGGAGAGTATTTCAACAATGGCGAGAAAATAGATGGCAGTTCAACTTTCAAGCTATGGAAATCCGGTATATTCCAAGATTACGTGTATAATAGGTTTTCAGCTTCCAATGCCATCAAAAGCGCACTTGACAAAATCGAACAACTTGAGAAGGTGCCAGGCGACGTGGAATCAAAACGCAAGAAAACAATGGAGCTGATGAAAGACTTGAAACATAACTTTCAACAAATTAAAAATGAAATTGAAAGAGCTTATAGGATTGTAACTGACGCTGATATTGTTTTGCAAAAGCACATACAATCGGTAAGTGATGTTGCGTTCTCGGCGCAGGACACTATATCAAGGACTATCCAAACGCTTCAAAAGGACCTCACCGAGACTGCGAAAAATGCCTTCGAAGAGATCACCGTCCAAGTCAGACTTCTCTTCGCGCACTCCAGAACAGCCGACCTAACCGCCCTAAAATCCCTAGTCAACGCACAAAAAACAGCGATCGAAGGCATAATCACAAAAGACTTGGCGAACGGCGTCAAAGGCCTATTGGACAAAATACGTACAACGCATCAAATTCTCGGACCAATTAAGGACCAAAAGGATTTAAATCTCGGTACTCCAATATTCAAGCAATTCTACGAAGGACTCTGGTCTTACATCATTGGTCAAATTGCCAATCATCCATCCAAGGACAAAGCGTCAAAAGTCAACACAGCATTAACTGAATTACTCCAGAAAATGATAAAAGAAAACCATTTCAGCCATGAAGTTGCCGATTTGATCAAAAAGGCTGCCGACACGGTGGTGAACTTCACCCCCGCCAAATTCACTTCTCCCTCCAGTCCCATCCTGCAAGCGCTCAAGGACGGAATCGGCGCCCTGGCCCAGCAACTCGGCTACGCATATGTGAGCACTTACTGTTGTAAGAAGTTTGACGGTGCGTTGCTTGATCCTGATACATCTTTGACTGACGACAAACGCAAATTGACACCGTATGGTGAGAAGCTGTCTAAGGTTTTCATGACCTGTCTGCCTGGTTGGACAAGATATCTGTACGATCTGCGGGTTAGATGTCATAACAATCCGCAGGGCCCGTGGAATAGTCTACAAATTAATAAGCTTGGGAAACACAAAAGTCTCGGAGATTGGTTTGACTCCCGCGGTTACCGTGTCTCTAAGGAAGATAATGGACACGACGGGGAGTTGAAGAATAAGATAGATTTTACGGGTGAACAAATTAGGATATTACTTGGCCATAAACTGAACAAATTAGATTCCAAATTACTCACTCATTTACAATCTCTGAAATTGAGTAATGGCCAATACACAACACTTCCCTACCTACTGCGTTACGTCAGCGGTACACTAGATGACTACCGCAGCGTCTGCCACTACAACATCCCTCCAAAACCCAGAGCCCCGTCCAACATCTATCTCATGCTTCAGTGGACTGCCGGCCTCAAGTACAACCACATGTACGGTGAAGTCAAGAGCCAGCTTGGCAATGTGCTTAAGGGCCTACAAAATGAGCATAAATTAGAAACAGAAGCTTTACCAGTAGCCGTGCAATCGGATATGCGAGGCTTAATTACGTCACCTATAGACTATGACCAATTAACTAAAGCACTTGAAAGTGTCTGCCACTACGCCGAACAAACATTAGTCGCCGTGCTCGGCCACGGCCACGCCGACGGTGTGTATGCCTCTGATCACCTCACTAACTCAAGTAATTTGTTGTATCCTGGTAGCGGTGGTGCGTGCTTGGACATGTTAGTAGATGTGTTATTTAGACTGTATCAGCAAATGTGTTTCCTACGTAAGCAGTGCCTCGGTGGCAAAAGTCACAGCGGGTGGAAAGACTGCTCGTACGGCAGATACGTCGCTGGCTCAGGTTGGCAGTGTAACAATGAACAGTGTGCTAACCTAGAGTGTAACCTAAGACCTAACCAAAAGGGGAACCTAAGTGCTGACCAAACACTAAAGCAAACAGCTGACCAACACCCCGATTGTGGTATGAAATCACCACTGCAATCCTTCCTTGAAGATGGTCTGCAAGGGTTCTTGCCTCATTCGTTTAGCAGTCCCGGCTGCAAGTTAACGTGTACTGTCTCCAATCATAGGGGACTTCCTTGTAAGACTCCGATGGGATTTGCCGATATAGGTGTCATTGCTTCACATACTAAAACAGGTGCGTATCTTGAGCGTGTGCTTTTTGATTTTTGTGGTCCGTATTCTGCCCTCAGTAAACTCTGTAACATGCTGAACTGCGTACTCCGCCGAGCGCCTCAGACGCTTGATGATATTTTCGGTTTCTTCCGTGGTTACCTGGCAAACTGGATTGAAGGTAGAGAGCATAAGATCTCTGCATTTAATAAGGCCATTAAGGAAGCTTATTTCGGCCAGGAATATTCGGACTTGACTCCGACTGTTTTGTTCAACACCAGCGTACATCAATGGAATGACATATCGAACCATTCCAAAGGTGACATGTTTACTATAACAAAATGCGAAAACAGGGCAGTAGATACATGTGGTGTCTATTTGGAGTCAGTATCATCCAGCACGTATAGCATTTTCTCATCGTACCATAAAAAACAATACCTGTCGTGGATCCTGTACTCGGCTGAGACCTTGTATAATTTGCTGGACAGATTATATAAACAGTGCTGTAATAACTGCACGTCTCCTGGAGCCAAATGTCATGGCACGAAATGTGATAAGAATTGCCAAGTAAAACAGGCATATGACGCTCAAAACTCTGATGATGCAAAACCAGACACCAAGAGACTCGACGGCAAAAATCACACTGAAAATTGCAGTTCCATTGTCAGATGCCAAAACACGCTGCCCACGCTATACATGTACGGCTTCAGTTTCGGTAATCCATTTGGTCTCTGTGGCAAAGATAATCTCACAGTTAATCGAAGAACGTGCAAGGATTTCTGCAGTGCGTTGAAAAAGATTCTAGATGAGGAATCAGCACTAATTCAATTAATCAAGCAAATCGATGAATTCATCTGGAAGATAAGAGAGAATTTCTCTTATACCCTCCTCGCCCTCTGGTCCCTCTCTTTGCTCTACCTGCTGCACATCGCCGTCGTCCGCCTCGACGTCCTGAGGATACGCTCCCATCTGCGCTCACCTTCAAGCCACAGGATCGCCGCCCAGTCGCTGCTCGCCGCCGCACGCGTCAGGGCACTCGCCAACGTCAAGTACTTCTCACCATAATCGTGCCTTCACGTGTGATCTATCACCCACTCACCCACCCACTCACCTAATCACTCAACCACTCAACCACCCACCCACTCACCCACTCAACCACTCACCCACCCACTCACCCACTCACCCACTCAACTACTCACCCGCTCACCTCCCTCCTTCACTGGTCGCTTCGCTCCCTCCCTCCTCCTTCCATCACCTCCTCCGTCGGCGTCCTCCACCCAAATCCTCATTTTCCACATTTTCCCTCCACCCTCAAAACCGCCTCTCTCAACCCATCTTCCTCCCTCATCGCCCTCTTTCGCCACCTCACTTCCCTCACCCTGTCCACCCACCTCCCTCGCTGCCTCGCTGCCTCCCTGACCTAAAATCGCCTTTCCCCAAAATCCCCCAAATCGCCCTTAAAATGTGCTTAAAATAATCCTTATTAATATTTCTTTCTACTTGCCACTCTCTCTCACAAATCCGGCAAGCTCTCTTGCTCTCCAAATCCACATGACCCTGACTCCTACTGTAGTCAGCTTGATAAGGACATTAAGTCCAACCAACAAAAACTTAAAAACGCTAAAAACTCTAATAACACTAGTGAAATATCCTCTTTAGAAGCTGAAATACAGCGCTATAAATCCAACAAAGATGACTGCACTAAGTCCCATTTCATGGATGAGCAGCGTATGTCCTCCCTTGAGGCGGAAGTGCATCATGGCATTGATGTTATTGTGAAGCTTACACAGTTTAGTGGCGGTAAAGATAGCGTTTTAGAGTTAATTAAGAAAGAAATTGAGAGGCTTGAAAAGCAGCATAAAGACTGTGAAAAGTCTCCGCAGCCTCATGCCTCTTCTGACTGTCCTCAGCATAAACTGCTTGAGGAGCTTAAAGAGAAACTTGAGACATTAACTCAGAATAAAGATAATAGTAATTGTGAAACATTATTAAATAACCTCTGTTCTGGCTTGGAGAAGTTCCTTGGTTACCAAGAAACTTCCAAAGGCTACGACGGCACTGGCATCGTGTACTCGGACCTCGACAGGCTCTGCGACGGGGTGATGTCTTTCCTTCATGGAGTTTTAGATACTGTGAGGGATGATGAGAGTGTTAAAACGTACGATGATTATATGAGAAATAACGGTCAAGATGATTTACATACTGTCCTTCAACATCTCCAATCTTCGATTGGCCAGGGACGCAGTGTCTTTGGTGAGCGGGTTGAAGAGGTAAGTGAGTGGTTACAAAAATATTGGACGCAGGTGAACGGAAGAACATTGAGCGTTATAAATGCTTTAGGTGAGTTGATCACTGATAAAATAGATTCATATGCTACTAATGTTCTTTCAGGTCATCCAAGCAAGGAGCTTCAACAGCAGTTGAGGGAGTGGACTTCCGTTCTTGGCAGCATAAATGATCACATTAAAAGCAACATAATCACTAATGTTGCTAAATTAGACCCCGCACTTGGCGAAAAGATAATGCGTAAAATTGAGCCCGTGCAAAGGGTGGTGGAGCAGTTGAGGGGGGTGGCTGGGAATGATGAGGTGGTGAGGGGAGTGGTACTCGTGGATGAGCATTTGGAAAAGCAGCGGGACTATGTTTTGGCAAAAATTAATAGTGAATCGAAGGATTTTGGGGATAAGGTAGAAGGGGAATTCTGGAAACTTGATAAAAAGGTTAAGGGTCTGGAAAAAACGAAAATCACGCATTTCACAGATATCTATGGACGCCTGAAGGAGGTTCACGAATTTTTTGGTGACGATTTTGATATCAAGTATAAGAAGAAAATAGATGGACTGTTTTCTGAGTTAGCAAATAAAATGACACAAATAGATCCTAAAAATAGTAATAGTAATGACGGTAATATATCTATACTTAAAGAAAAGTTTGAGAAAGTGAAATCTGATATTGATCTAATTGGTACTGAGGTGGACGGCGAAGTTGCCGACTTGTCAACGTGGAAGACAGAGGCTGATAAGGTTGTGAAGGAAGCGAAAAAGAAGTGTGAGGAGATCATTGCCAAACTTTCAGACGACGAGAAAAGCAAAATTGCAGGTCCGGCTGGACAGTTAAGACAGAAGGCCACTCAGCTTTTGGCTGCATCTGTCGACGCAAAGCGGGGAGTTACCACAGCTGTGCAAGACGCTGTCAGAAAATTCGCCGCGTTAGATGGTATGGTGACTCAGGGATTGGAGAATTTTAAAGGGAAAATTACGCCTACAATTAGTGGCTGCTTAACCAATTTGAAAGATATAGATTTTGCCGGTGGCCGGGTAATAAAACTTGGCACGTTGTCAACTAAAGGTCATGTGGGAGAGTGGCTTAAAAATAACTTGCAGAGTAGTAGTGGTTTGAACGGTGCATTTAAATCTCTCGGTCAAGATAATGAGTCCATTCTACAAAGCATTTTTAATGTGCTGAAAGTAGAAAATATAGTGAATGGTCAAAGAGATGTCACATTTTTTAAAGCATTGGATGAAGATATACACAATGCTATTAAGGACATTATAAATTTGAAAAATCTGAGCGACCCTATGCAGTCTCTTCGTACCGAGTTAAATGGAGATGGTCTTCATAGGGCAGTGAGTGGTATTACAGTGAAGGTCAAAGATCTTACTGATCAAGTAAATCAGCAAGCAGAGTCTTCTTTGATAGACGGTTATTTTGACGGCATTTGGAATGCGCTAGATGATCTCTGCAGTGGAGTTCAAAACCTAGTCGAAACAACCGGAAACGGCGGTATAAAGAAGGACGGTGTCAATCCACGTCTGAATGAGCTTGAAAAGGGGCTTCAGACAACCAAGCTGCGTGATTCTAAAAATGGGCTTCATGATATTCATGCTCACCTTGGTCAGTTACAAATCAGGATTGCCGAGGTGACCAAAGCTGATGCCAGTACAAAAGTGGCTGATATCATTGCCGAACTTGAAGGCCTGCCCGAACTGCTTAATAGGAAGAGATCAGACGCGGGAAGGAACATGGATGATTTGAGAATGCAACTTACACACCGACTCAAAATTGTTGAAACAAACATACAATATGCCGATACATTTATTCAAAGGGCTATTAAAACCGTCCAACAATCTCTTCAATTAGCTCATCACAATATAACTGAATTGCTCTACCACCTCACGAATACCGTCCTCAAGGCCACTGACCAAGCCTTCCAAAAAAGTTACCGATGAAATCCACTCCCTCTTCTCCGCCTCCCACGCCGCCGACCTCCAGGCCCTGCGCGCGCTCGTCGACCAGCAACTGCGGGAAGTGCAAAAAATTGTCGACGCGGACGCAGTCACGGGCGTGAAGGGGATGATCAATAAAATGTACGGAAAAGATGGCAAGAATATTAAGCTTATTGTAGATGCTTTAACTAAGCAAACTTCGCCGTCTCCTAAAGGCAGTCCAGCTGCAACGACTTCGCCAACCAAAGACGAAATTAAAAAATTCATATTCAATTTCATGTATTTCGCTGATCCACTGCTACAGTACACTGAAGGCCATGTAAAAGATTATTCACAAGATAAAAATAATCCTCTTCCCACTGAACAGTCCCTCCAAGTGAGAGGCATCCAAAATGCGTCTGACACTCTACTTAAATATCTTGGTAAATTTAGCGATGATAATAAGAATCAACACAAGGACGCTAAAAAGCGTATTTACATTTTTGATGACTTATCCACTACACTTCTTAAACAACTCTCCGCTTCCATCTCCGCCCTCTCCCCCTCCAACTTCCACGGCTTCCACAACCCGCTCCTCCTCGACGCCCTCAAGGCCGGCATGGAAAAATTCACCGAGCAACTCGGACACGCGTATGTAAACGTTTACAGCGGTAAAACTCATACTAAGGAGTGGGTGAAACAAGAGAGTAAACAAGTCGATGGCAAAGCACAATCCGTTACCGTCCTTTCCACCGAGGGCCGCAACTGCGCCAAGGTCTGCCTGACCATACTGGAGATACTGAGTGAAGACTTGTGGAAGTTGAGAAATGGAAGCAAGAGTGAAAAAAATAAAAACAAAAAAATTATCTTACACAATGGCAATGGTCTTGGCGCCTTTCTTGAGGGGTGCGGCTTCGAGGTATCTAAGGATGACAAGACTCAGGACGGGGAGTTGGACAGGAACAAGACGGGGCAGAGTATAATTGATGTCATGGTTAAAAAAAAACAGGAATCACCGCAGAATGTCCATGCAATTTACGAAGATGCAGCAAATAGAGATGGCGCACTTAAAACGCTTATCGGACACCTTGACAGCTACTACCGTGTCTCTCACCACAAGCAGATCCCTGGCGCAAAAGCCCCTTCCAACATATATCAGATGCTCCAATGGCTGCTCGGGTTATACTTCAATCCGATGTATAGCAAACTGGAAGGGTACTTTGGCAAGTTGTTTTCCGGCCTAAAAGATGAATATAACTTGAGCAATGAAACATTAGATGTCACCGTTCCAGACGATATTAAAAAGGTAATGGCATCACCTCTGGACGCCAGCAAATTGAACAAAGTGCTCAAAGAAGTTTGTTTATATTCCGCAGACGCACTCATCGCAATACAAGGCCACGGCCATCCTGATGGCCGTTACGCCGTTGACTTTTATACAAACACAGATAATTTGTTGTACCCTGGTAGAGACAGTGCATGTTTTGATATGCTTGCAGACACATTATTTCGAGTCTATAATCAACTCCGTTTCTTATATAAGCAGTGTAACAACGGGCCTAACAGCGGCGGCTGGCAAGACTGCCATTACGGCCGGTACATTGGCGGGTCATCATGGAACTGCAACGATTTCCAATGCCCTGAGCAATCATGTCGGCAAAAGCACAACCAATCGTGTAACCAACCAGCTGACCAAAAGGCCAACCAAACGGTCAGCCAACACTACAACTGCGGTATAAAATCGCCGCTTCAATCCTTTTTAGAAGATGGACTGCAGGGTTTCCTGCCACACCCACTTACTGAAGTTGGATGTGGAGTTAAATGCTCAGTTGGTAGTCACTTTGGTAAGCCATGTCTCACTCCCATGGGGTTCACTGACATTAGCAATGTAGCTTCACGCACGCAGAAAGGTGAAGATCTGAAGAAACTTATTGAGAAATTCTGCGGTTCAAAGTCTGACCTCCGTCAGCTGTGTAGTATGCTCAACTGCCTCCTCCGCCGCCCTCCTCAGACGCTGGGTGATATTATCGCCTTCTATAACAGTTTCCTATACAAATGGAGTAGCAGTGGTGCGCATAAAAAAGACGCATTCGAGATAGCGGTGAAAAGCGCAAATTTCGGAAATCCGGAAACAACGCTGGAAATTAGTACCATATTTGCCAGCAGTAGCCACGACACTCACGCTACTGGTAAGGAGAACAAACTAACTGGTGACATGTTTAGCCTTGTTAGTTGTAAGCCAAGCGCGTATCCAGTACACCCCTGTGGCCGATACCTACAGCCACTGACATCAGATGTTCATTGTATGTTCTCCGAAAAACACGCCGACAAGTATCTGTCATGGGTAGTGTATATAACGGAAACATTTTATGACCTGCTTAAGATTCTATATGATGACTGTTGTAAACAATGTGACACTATTGGAACCAAATGCCATGATAAGGGCTGTGTAGATAATTGCCAAGTACGATTGGCATATGAAGCTGAAAACTCCGCTCTTCAAGCATCGTCCACTCAACCCACAAATACGGCACATGATTCAGACTGTCATTCCATTGTCAAATGTCAAAATACCCATCCGACACTGTATACATATGGTTTCACATTTGGGAGTCCGCATGAGTTGAGTGGTGTCCCGGAGGTGAAAAATAGACGAACATGTAAAGATCTATGTCACACATTAAAGAGAGTAATCAGCGAGAGAGAAGCTGACAAGGCTCCGCTCGCCGAATTGATTTTTAGAACAATTCCCGAGTACCTGCTAAAAATCAGATGGCCGTTTATGCTAACGTTGTTAGCCCTCTGGTCGCTGTCGCTCCTCTACCTGCTGCACATCGCCGTCGTCCGCCTCGACGTCCTGAGGATACGCTCCCACCTGAGATCGCCCTCAAGCCACCGCATCGCCGCGCAGTCGCTACTCGCAGCGGCACGCGTCAAGGCACTCGCCAACGTCAAGTACTTCTCACCGTAATCGTGCCTTCACGTGTGATCTGTGTATCACATACTCACTCAACCACCCACTCACCTAACCACTCACTCAACCACTCACCCACCCACCCACTCACCCACCCACTCACTAACCACTCAACCACTCACTCACCCACTCACCCACCCACCCACTCACCTAACCACTCAACCACTCATCCACTCACCCACCTAACCACTCACTCACCCACTCACTCAACCACCTCACTCCTTCACTGGTCGCTTCGCTCCCTGCCTTCACCCCTCCCTCACCTCCTCCGTCGGCGTCCCTCACCCAAATCCTCTTTTTCCGCCTTTCCTTCTCCACCTCCATAATCCCCTTACCTCATCCCATCTTCCTCCGTCATCGCCCTCCTTCGCCCCTTCACTTTCCTCACCCTGTCCACCCACCTCCCTCGCTGCCTCCTTGACCTAAAATCGCCTTTCTCCAAACTCCCCCAAATCGCCCTTATAATGTGACTAAAATAATCCTTCAACAACATTATTAAATAACCTCTGCACAGGCCTCGAAAAATTTCTCGGCTACAGTAACGGGAATTACACCGGAGAAGGAATTGTGTACTCGGACCTTGACAGGCTGTGCGACGGGGTGATGTCTTTCCTTCATGGTGTTCTTAAAGATGTAAATGACAATCCAAATCTACAGAAATATAATACTGATTTGCCTAACGTCCTCCAAAAAATTAAAGAAGCTCTCTATAATAGAGATAATTTTGATAGTAGTATTCGCGCAGTGAGTGAGGGGATTAAGCAGTGGGTGAGCGGGGTGGATGGAAAGCATAGAACTGTAACAGCGCCGTTAGGTAATCTTAAAATAACAATGGATGGTCATATAAAGGCTCATATGGATCGTATGCCGATTACAGAACAATTGAGGAATTGGCAGGGTTTTGCTGGACTATACCTTGGTGAAGTTCAGAAATCTGAGAAGGCCCTAAAAAATATCGACGACAATCTTGGAATTAGGGTGTCGCCTTATATCGAGTTTATAAGAGAGATTGTTGAGAATTTTCGTAAGTCGGTAAATGATGAGAGTGTTACAAATTCTGTCAAGGCACTCAACGCTAAATTCATGTACCATCGAAAAGACGTGGCTTCTCACATTGAGACCAAAATACAGACCGTAAAACAATCGTTGAGTGAGAAGTTGGGACAAATTGGCAAGGATATTGAAACTCTTAAGCAGGCGAGAGACACGCACATTAAGAGTATTAGGAATGCCATGAAATTGGCGCAGCAGGCGGCGGACAATTTGCTTGGAAAAACGGGTACCGAATTTGATACCGCTTACAAGACATTAATTACTAATAAGTTTACTGAAATAAAAGATGCAGTTGAGAAGTTTGCTAAGGAGGGTTCCGATAGCACAGATCTTTTGAAGCAGTTTGGCATCGTCAATCAGCAAGTCAACAGTGAGATGTCAACTGCCCTGCTGGCGGATTTGACTAAGTTGAAGGAGGCTATAGATGACGTTGACAAACATGTGGAAAATGATAAGGCTGACGGTATTGGTCTTGTGAGCGGTGAATTGCAGGATCTTCAGACGGCGATGGCGACTCTAGGTAGTAAGATTCTTGAGAGGATTACGGAGACATCCGCCGAACTATGGGTTCACTATGAGAATGTGTTGGAAGATAAAATCAAGGATCTTGCGACTATGTTCAAGCCTTTGAGGGAAGCCATCTACGGTGAGGGAGGAACATCCAAAAATCCGGCCGATAAGTCACTTGGCAAGTATATTATTGACTTAACGGCTGCGATCGGCGGTAATGGCGACGATGACGATGACGCCGATGAAGACGGCAAGCTTGACAAAGCAATTAAGAAATTCCACTCTGCCGCTGAAGCAGAAATCAGAAATGCAGCCAAGACGGCGATTGAGAAGGCGCTCGAGGAATTCAAGATGGACGCTGATGACAACAAAATCAATGTGCCAGCAATGATGACTCTGTTTAATAGCGCCAAAACAAAGATTACTAATGCGTTGTTGTTAATGGCTGGAGAACTCGAGAAACTTAAGAAACTTCCCACCACAATCGAACAAACCGGAAAGAATGCTGGAGAGTTGATGGATGAATTAAAGGAAAGGATCGACGGTGTCAAAAAAGCAATCGACGCCATCGCTAAACCTATCAACGACGCCGAAGATGCCTTCGACTCCGCCGTCGAGGCACTCGATGGCTCCCTAGTATTGGCTCAGAGCGCCGCGAATGGAAAATTGCAAGATTTACAATTTGATTTGCAGGCGCGTGTAAATAAAGCACTACATGACCTCGAGGATGCTGTACAGAAAATGTACGACGATCAAAAAAAAGCCGAATTAAGAGCCTTGCATAGTTCTGTCGCTGACCAATTCTCGAACGTACGATCTTTAATTGATGACGACATGGATATGGGCCTAAAAGGCCTGATGGGAAAATTAAAAGAAGCTTTTCTGGTATACAGGCCGTATCCTTCAGGTACCGATCTCCGTCCATTCACCAAGAAAGTTAATCAGTTCCTCACAAAATTCTTCGACGAACTGCTGCTGCAGACAGATTTGACAGATGACCGTGAACGTATGGACCCCCTCACCTCCGCCCTCTCCTCCCTGCTCTCCACAATGTTCAATAAACAACACTTCCACCGCGAAGTCTCCGACAAAATCGACGCGCTCAAAAAAGCGCTCGACAACTTCACTCCAACACAATTCCACGAAGCCTCTCCCCTGCTCAACGTCGTAAAGCGCGGCGTCACGGACCTCCACGAGCAGCTTCGCAAGCAGTACGTCAGCAGGTACTCGGGCAAAGAATGGAATTCTCTGCAAGAGCCGGAAAAGACAAATTGCGCCCAAATTCTCGTCACCATCCTCAAGACATTGACTCACGATTTACGTGAGCTTCATGAGAGATGCGACAAGAAGAAAGGTGATTGCAGGGAAAACAAAATTTCCCTCATATCCAAGCCAAGCGTCTATAATCCCCTCGGCGCATTTTTCAAGGACTGCGGCTTTATTGTTTCCAAGTTGGAAGAGTCCTATGAAGGAGAGCTGAGATGTCATGAGCAGATGAGGGGGGGACATTTATTCGAGAAACTTGTTGCTTCGCTGCAAGATGTCAACAAAATTCTACATCTTCCGAAATGCGTTACAGACAAAACTGATAACTTCACTGTCATCGACCTACTTAAATGTCTCACAACTCACGTCGGTGAGTATTACCAATCTTGCCACCTCGGACTCCCGAAGTCCAAAAAGTATCCGTGTTCCATTCGTGATATTTGTGTATGGCTTTCTGGCCTTCCTCACACTGCAGTTTATAACACAATTCAGGGGCACTGTGATAAGATGCTCAATCAGAAAGACGAAGCGACCGGTGCATTCCCCAATCAGGCCGATAAAGTCATGAAGAGATCCTTGCAACACCTATACGGTACCATTAAAAAAACATGTCACTTGTCACATAGATTATTAGTCTCCATCCAGGGCAACGGACGTGGCTACGACCACGCTGCGTATCCCTATGCGTGTTGCTTTGAGAACAACCACGGAGGGTTCTATTACCCCGGTGATCCGTCGTCGTTGCTTGACATGTTGAAAGATATGTGTATGCGTTTGTTGCGTGCAGTGTCTTTCTTATACCAGCAATGTAAGCACACAGCATCCGACGGCAACGGGTGGCGTGAGTGTCAATATGGTTATCGTGTCGGCACCTACCACTGGGATTGCGACAAGTCAAGCGATGACTCAAACACACAACCAAACAGACAACCTAAGTGCCAACCAAATAGTGAACCAAATGACCAACCAACGTGCTTACCAAAGTCCCCGCTTCAGGCCCATCTTATGGATGGCCTTCCTGGTTTCATGCCGCATAAGTTCACAGCTGTCGGTTGCCAGGCCATGTGCTCAACGTGCCCTAAGGGCTCACTTGTTGGTCAATGTATTACCCCAATGGGCTTCGCAGATTTGGCCACTGCGGGCTCTATTACAGGCCGTGGCGATGACCTCGTTGATGTGCTTTCTACGCTTTGTAAAAATGGCGGTTCAGTTCTGTGTGAATTAGTGCACGCATTACAATGCATATCGCCCTCTCCACCGAAGGGCTTGGCAGAGATGTTCTCGTACTACTGTAACGTAATGCAGAAATCGTACGGTGCAGTGTATGGTCATTATACGCAAAGCAAAGATGCAATTGATGAAGCTGTTAATAATAGTTTCCCATTTAACAATTTCAAAACGCTTCACCAAAGTTACCGAAATTCACAACTCACTGAAAAGTTCAGAGATTTGTATTGTTATAATGGATCCCATAACAAACATCTCGACGAAGGCCATTGTGACCTTCAAAGTCTGTCCCCAAATCCTACATCCACCAAATTGAATGAGTGCTCTACTGCTAATTCCACCTGCGCCCCTTACCTCAAAGCTCTGTGTCACGATGCTCATCACACATACCCTGCAAAACACGCAAACATGTATCTGTCATGGCTTTGCCGGTTGGCGTGGACATTCTGGGATTTGCTTGATCAGTTGCTCAAGGCGTTCAATAACATATCCTGTCAAACATATGGGTGTCTATGCAAATGCGGTTTTGGTAAACACGGCGTCACTGAGGAAGAAACATCGCAACCTCCAAAAGTTCCGACGCCTGCCAAAATAAGTTGCAGTTGCACTTCGATCGTCGAGTGCAAAGGACCTATGTCCGTATTCTACCAGTACGGTTTCACATTCGGAATGCCGAAAGAGTTAATGGGATCCGGAAGCAAGAAGACATGTGACAATTTCGTAAAGCAGTTGAACAGAGTTTTAACGAACGGATACTTCAAAGAATTGTTTGATGAAATCGATGATTTCATCTGGGCAATACGTACACCCTTCTCATACCTCTTATTAGCCCTCTGGTCGCTGTCGCTCCTGTACCTGCTGCACATCGCCGTCGTCCGCCTCGACGTGCTGAGGATACGCTCCCACCTGCGCTCGCCCTCAAGCCACCGCATCGCCGCACAGTCCCTCCTCGCCGCCGCACGCGTCAAGGCACTCGCAAACGTCAAGTACTTCTCACCATAATCGTGCCTTCACGTGTGATCTGTGTATCACCAACTCACCAACTCAACCACTCACCCACTCACCCACTCACCCACCCACTCACTCACCCACTCACCCACTCACCCACCAACTCACTCAACCACCCACTCACCTAATCACTCACTCACTCACATACTCACCCACTCACTCACCCACCCACTCAACCACTCACTCACCCACTCACCCACTCTCTCACATACTCACTCAACCACCCACTCACTCAACCACCCACTCACTCAACCACTCAACCACTCAACCACTCAACCACTCAACCACCCACTCACACACCCACTCAACCACTCACCCACTCACTCACTCACCCTCCACTCACTCACCCACCACGCACCACCACTCAACCACTCACCACTCACCCACTCAACCACTCACCCACTCACCCTCCCGCTCCCTGCCTCCACCCCCCTCCCTCACCTCCTCCGTCGGCGTCCCTCACCCAAATCCTCATTTTCCACCTTTCCCCTCGACCCCTAAAACCGCCTTACCTCAACCCATCTTCCTCCTCCATCGCCCTCTCTCGCCCCTTCACTTCCCTCGCCCTTCCATCACTGCCTCGCTGCCTCGCTGCCTCCTTGACCTAATTTGACCTTTTCCGAAATTCCCCCAAATCGCCCTGAAAATGTGCTATTTCACCTCCTTTAATCTTTATCTAACCTTTTTTCCACTTTCTTCTCTCACCACTTTTGACCTCCCTTCTCAGCCTCCTTCGTCGGCCTCCATCGACTGGTTGATCCAGGTTAAGCATGGGAATGGTGGTGAAGGTAAAGGGCTTGAGGAGTTGGCCAAAGCTTTGAAAAAGTTGATTGGTGATGCTATTGAGAAGGCTGAAACTAGCCTTGAAAAGAGGAAAAAGGAGCTTGAATGCCATAAAGATTTCGAGCATTGTAAAGTGTTGAAGGAGAAAATTAAGGAAGCTAAAAGTGATGAAAAATCCATGTTACAATCCGAGTATAATAGCCATTACTCCGAAGTACATGGGTCTGAGTCTAAAAGACAGAGTGGTGAGAAGGATCTTGCTGAGCGGCGCATCTCTCTTGGTAACCTTGCTGGACAGCTTTCGGGTTTTGTCGGCGGTGGAGAGGAAGTCAAAAATGCAATTTTGAAGGGTTTGCACAGTAATGTAAATCAGCTTGAAAAGCTTTTACAAGCATCTTGCGGAGATAAGGGGTGTGATGGTCATCGTAGTCAAATTGATGGTCTTAAAAAAGAGCTTGATAAACTTAAAAATAATCTTAAAGAGGAACACAATACTCCTGTAAATCTTGCTAAAATCCTTACTGACTGCAATTTATATCCGTCTGATGGTCCCTTAAAACAGCTTAATGTGTCAATTCCTCAAAAAATTCAGAAGCTTAATAACAAAATTGAAAACCTTAAAAATGATGTTAATCAAAGTAAAAATGCCTCTGAAATTGACAAACTTAATAAGGATCTTCAGTCTCATAATGCTTCCATGAGGTCTCTCAAGACACTGAGTGAGCTTTGTGATTTTGCTGGGAAAATTAATGAAAATCATGATAACACTAAAAAGCTTTTAGATAACCTCTGCACAGGCCTCGAAAAATTTCTCGGCTACAGTAGTGGGAATTACACCGGAGAGGGAATTGTGTACTCCGACCTCGACAGGCTGTGTGACGGGGTGATGGCGTTCTTGCACGGGGTGTTGGAGAGTGTTAAGGAGGATGAAAATGTTACAACTTATGATAAAAATAATGATATCAAGAATCTTCCTACTAAAATCGGTGAGTTTATGCATAATGGTTCTAATGATTTTCAGGATGCCATCACACAAGTGTCCGAGGCGCTGCGGGCGTGGAGCGGTGAGCTCGAAGAGCGAACCACGAAACTAACTGGCACTTTAGAATCACTTAGCACAAACATAGATTCTAATATTAGTAGTGTTGGTGAATTGCATGATTTTGATGTGGCGGCGAAGCAGTGGAGGACTGCGGTGGTGGGTGCCCTTGAGGGTACGTTGAGAGACGCCAGATTGGCGATTGAGAAACTTGATAATCCGTTGCAGGCAAAACTGAAGACAGATTTCGAGAACATTAAGGTACGGATTCATGATTTTGCAGATAATGCGAAACGGGACCAGGAGGAGCTGGTGAAGTTGAAGAGTACTGTGGAGACCGAGCTCGGAAAGCTGAGAGATGAGATCATTAAGGAGGCTAGAGAGAAATGTCAACACTGTATTGCTCTGTTAACGACAGCGTTTAGGAGTAATATTCAGGATCCAATAATGCAGGTTATAAGGGGATTCTATACGGTGAGGGATGATTTGGAAAAGTGGAGCAAGAAGGCCAAGGAAGTTGTAGAGAGGGCGTTACAGAGATGTACGGAGATTATTGAAAAGCTGAATGGTAGTGGTGCAGGGAGCAAAGGAGAGAGAAAGACCGTTGAGGATGCGGTGACGGCGCTGCATGATAACGCCGATAAACTTATGACGGCCGTAGAGTTTGCTAAGGTGAAATTAGGATTAGAGGCCGAAGCGACGCAAACGGCCTTAAAAACTCTGGACACGGCAATTAAAATGGATTTGAATTGTGTGAAGAATGCCATTAATTTGGGGATTAAGGAGTACGTTGAGAAGCTGGGTAAGGCTTTCAGTGAAGGTGCTGGGGCCGCAACCATGAGTCCGTTGGATACGAGTCGTAAGCCCGGTGTTGAAGCCTTCAAGAGTATGCTAAAAAATGGTGCACTGTACACAGTGCTGGATACAAGCAAAGCTGCGAGTGCCCCAAGCCCAGCATATGGTCTAGAGTGGGCTCTTCATGGGATGAGTACCCACTTAAATCACTATCTCAGGAACGGTTCCGATGTTGTCAGCAAAATCGTAGATGATTTTATGAAGCCTGTTGACGGCCAGTTGCCTAAAATTGATAATAGCCAGCTAGTGAACATTGACAACGTCCCGACGTTTTCCCATTACCATGGTGGTAAAGGCGATGGAGGCAAGAAAAGAGCCTTACATGATGCCATCGACCAAATAAAAATTGAGGTAAATAAGAGACTTGAGTCACCTGAAGTTAAAAATATAACAAACGATAAACTTGACGAAGCCCTAAAACTTGTCAACGAAAATCTCACCAAATTCACCAAAGCCGTTAAAGATGTGATTGACGATAGAGGTTGGGCACGGGGGTCGTCTTCCCCTGCTCCCGATAGAGGTGTGAAAAATCTGTTGCAGGATTTGCAGAAAATGGTTGATGATTCAGGAAGTGGAAATACGTACGGCATAGCAAAACGCCTCGATGAAATCAAGACAGCTATTGGTATAATCCTAAACAAGAAGGATGCTCCAGACCCAAAGAACACTCTGGAAGAAATATTCAGGCAAGCGGACAAATTCCACGACTCAACAATCCCCGGTGCAGTTAATGGATGCGTCTCCGGAATTATATCATCCCTCCAGAAGAAAGTTGCAGAAAAGATTGGTAACATAAAATATGAGGCCTTTAAGAGGTACGTTGCAAGTGCGCAGCAACAGTTGAGGGAGGTGCGAAAGGATATTGATGACAGAAGCAGTACGATCAAGAATACTATAGAAGACGACAAAAGAAAGGATTGAAAGGCTTGCTCAAAACAATATATGGCAATACTGGCGCAAATGTGAATGCACTTAATAACCCCCCAAATTTGGCCTTGGCTCCCAAGTTGGAAGTTTTCTTCATGCGGTTGATAGAGTACGCTAAGGACCAGTTGAAAACCCAACATGAATTCCCGAATAGGATAAAATCGCTAACCCTAGTTGTACAAAATCTATTCATGGGCTTATGCGACTCCCAACATTTCGATCACAAATCTAGTATGAATATCAACAGTATAAACAACGTTCTCAATGGTTTTTCACCCATTTCATTTGAAGGGCCTTCTAACTCAAAGCTCCTTGACGTCATTAAGAGGGCCTACATGCGTTAGCGAATGAGTTACAGAAAGCCTATATAAACGTCTACGAGGGAGCAGTCAAAATCGACAGGTGGACAGAAACTCTGCCTGCACAAACCCCGGCAAAAAAACGGCGCTAAAATATTCCTCACCATTGCCACAATCCTGAATCATGAGATATCTTATCTACACGAGAAATGCCGAGACAAGTGGCGTAAGTATGAAATCATCGAAACCACTGAGCTTGGCAGGTACCTCCACCAATGCGGATACAGGGTGTCCAGCACCATAAGTAAGCAGAATGGCGAATTATATAGCAATGTGACTGGTGAAAATATCAAGCAGTTCCTGAAATCTCTCACGAAAACTTCCACTCTTAATCAGCTGGAAGCCCACCTCCAGAGTTATTACCAAGTCGGTCACCCTCCACTTTCACCTCCACCAAGCGTCCGATCACCGTCAACCAGATGCTCCAGTGGCTCTGCGGTCTCTCTTACAATGGCGTATACGATCTGCTTCAACAGCATTGCAAAGTGTTAAGGAGGATGAAAATGTTACAACTTATGAAAAATAATGATATCAAGAATCTTCCTACTAAAATCGGTGAGTTTATGCATAATGGTTCTAATGATTTTCAGGATGCCATCACACAAGTGTCCGAGGCGCTACTGTGGAGCGGTGAGCTCGAAGAGCGAACCACGAAACTAACTGGCACTTTAGAATCACTTAGCACAAACATAGATTCTAATATAGTAGTGTTGGTGAATTGCATGATTTTGATGTGGCGGCGAAGCAGTGGAGGACTGCGGTGGTGGGGCCTTGAGGGTACGTTGAGAGACGCCAATTGGCGATTGAGAAACTTGATAATCCGTTGCAGGCAAAACTGAAGACAGATTTCGAGAACATTAACCTACGGATCCATGATTTGCAGATAATGCGAAACGACCAGGAGGAGCTGGTGAAGTTGAAGAGTACATGTGGAGACCGAGCTCAGCTGAGAGATGAGATCATTAAGGAGGCTAGAGAGAAATGTCAACACTGTATTGCCTGTTCTTCGACAGCGTTTACATCCAATTTCAGGATCCAAATGCAGGCTACATAAGGGATTCTATACGGTGAGGGATGAAGGAAAGAGCAAGAAGGCAATGGAAGTTGTAGAGAGGGCGTTACAGAGATGTACGGAGATTATTGAAAAGCTGAATGGTATGGTGCAGGGAGCAAAGGAGAGAGAAAGACCGTTGAGGATGCGGTGACACGCTGCATGATACGCCGATAAACTTATGACGGCCATGTAGAGTTTCAAGGTGAAATTAGGATTAGAGGCCGAAGCGACGCAAACGGCCTTAAAAACTCTGGACACGGCAATTAAAATGGATTTGAATTGTGTGAAGAATGCCATTAATTTGGGGATTAAGGAGTACGTTGAGAAGCTGGGTAAGGCTTTCAGTGAAGGTGCTGGGGCCGCAACCATGAGTCCGTTGGATACGAGTCGTAAGCCCGGTGTTGAAGCCTTCAAGAGTATAAAAAATGGTGCACTGTACACAGTGCTGGATACAAGCAAAGCTGCGAGTGCCCCAAGCCCAGCATATGGTCTAGAGTGGGCTCTTCATGGGATGAGTACCCACTTAAATCACTATCTCAGGAACGGTTCCGATGTTGTCAGCAAAATCGTAGATGATTTTATGAAGCCTGTTGACGGCCAGTTGCCTAAAATTGATAATAGCCAGCTAGTGAACATTGACAACGTCCCGACGTTTTCCCATTACCATGGTGGTAAAGGCGATGGAGGCAAGAAAAGAGCCTTACATGATGCCATCGACCAAATAAAAAATTGAGGTAAATAAGAGACTTGAGTCACCTGAAGTTAAAAATATAACAAACGATAAACTTGACGAAGCCCTAAAACTTGTCAACGAAAATCTCACCAAATTCACCAAAGCCGTTAAAGATGTGATTGACGATAGAGGTTGGGCACGGGGGTCGTCTTCCCCTGCTCCCGATAGAGGTGTGAAAAATCTGTTGCAGGATTTGCAGAAAATGGTTGATGATTCAGGAAGTGGAAATACGTACGGCATAGCAAAACGCCTCGATGAAATCAAGACAGCTATTGGTATAATCCTAAACAAGAAGGATGCTCCAGACCCAAAGAACACTCTGGAAGAAATATTCAGGCAAGCGGACAAATTCCACGACTCAACAATCCCGGTGCAGTTAATGGATGCGTCTCCGGAATTATATCATCCCTCCAGAAGAAAGTTGCAGAAAAGATTGGTAACATAAAATATGAGGCCTTTAAGAGGTACGTTGCAAGTGCGCAGCAACAGTTGAGGGAGGTGCGAAAGGATATTGATGACAGAAGCAGTACGATCAAGAATACTATAGAAGACGACAAAAAGAAAGGATTGAAAGGCTTGCTCAAAACAATATATGGCAATACTGGCGCAAATGTGAATGCACTTAATAACCCCCCAAATTTGGCTGCCTTGGCTCCCAAGTTGGAAGTTTTCTTCATGCGGTTGATAGAGTACGCTAAGGACCAGTTGAAAACCCAACATGAATTCCCGAATAGGATAAAATCGCTAACCCTAGTTGTACAAAATCTATTCATGGGCTTATGCGACTCCCAACATTTCGATCACAAATCTAGTATGAATATCAACAGTATAAACAACGTTCTCAATGGTTTTTCACCCATTTCATTTGAAGGGCCTTCTAACTCAAAGCTCCTTGACGTCATTAAGAGGGGCCTACATGCGTTAGCGAATGAGTTACAGAAAGCCTATATAAACGTCTACGAGGGAGCAGTCAAAATCGACAGGTGGACAGAAACTCTGCCTGCTGACCAAGATGCCGCCCAAATTACAAAATTAACCCCGACGGCAAAACGGCGCTAAAATATTCCTCACCATTGCCACAATCCTGAATCATGAGATATCTTATCTACACGAGAAATGCCGAGACAAGTGGCGTAAGTATGAAATCATCGAAACCACTGAGCTTGGCAGGTACCTCCACCAATGCGGATACAGGGTGTCCAGCACCATAAGTAAGCAGAATGGCGAATTATATAGCAATGTGACTGGTGAAAATATCAAGCAGTTCCTGAAATCTCTCACGAAAACTTCCACTCTTAATCAGCTGGAAGCCCACCTCCAGAGTTATTACCAAGTCGGTCACCTCTCCACTTTCACCTCCACCAAGCGTCCGATCACCGTCAACCAGATGCTCCAGTGGCTCTGCGGTCTCTCTTACAATGGCGTATACGATCTGCTTCAACAGCATTGCAAAGTGTTGTACGATAAGGAAGATTACTCTGAAATGAAATCCATATTGAGAGATGCCGTCATGCATAGCTTGCCCAGATCATTAACATCTTCCCATAATTTGCTAATCACTATCGTTGGCACCGGTGATGAATACACAACCTACGCCTGCGACTACTACAGCAACTCACTGCAGTTGCACTACCCACAAAATGGAGAGAGTTGCCTCGAAATGTTGTTAGATATATTACGCAGATTGTTCCCTCCACTTAGATTCTTGCATAGCGTGTGTGGCCTAGGCACTGAGCACCACGGTTGGGGTCAGTGTTACTACGGCAGAGATATCTCATCGGTCAACTGGCCGTGCAAAGAGCATGTTGCTGACAAAGCAAACAGCAAACCAAAAAGTCGACCAATGTGCCAACCAAACAGCGAACCAAATTGCCAACCAAAATCCCCTCTACAAAGCTACCTAAACGACTGCCTCCCCGGCCATTTGCCACATCACCTTAGTTCTATAGGCTGCAAAGCCGAATGTGCCACATGCCCTTCCACGTCCATGAAGGGTATGCCCTGTCTAACCCCTCTTGGATTTAGAGGGTTTTCGGGGAGTACAAGGACAGGTAAACAGCTATGTGATATTCTGACCGAATTCTTCGACACCTTCGATCTTACATCCATGTTTTGCTTTTCTCCAAACCCACCGGCTACATTACCAGAGCATTTCTCATTTACGTTATCGCTTGTCAGCGGGTGGAAGGATAGTGGCGGTAACGCATTCCAAATGGCAATGGAGACATCCATGAAATACGTCTCCATCGAGTTGTACGAAAATACTATCGAACTGACTAGTGCACTTCGCGATGCTTATGGTAACAGCCAGCGCAACCATGAGGCTGCAGCACATCAACCTAAGAATGTTTCTCGCAACACTGATAAAACTGTATACGCCGATATTTCTAGTCTATCACTTGCGACGCCATGCTCCGGCAATTATCAATGTGCTCCGTACCTACTATCAGTATGCAACGACCCTTACAATTACCTTACCAACATACACTCCAAACTCTATCTCTCATGGGCCATATACTTGCCATGGAAATTCCACGATTACCTCAAATATCTGCTGGACGAGTTCTGCACTATCCTTTGCCAGGATTGGGGTTGCCATACGTGCCTTCACGGCAATAACTGCAAAAAGGGAAAACATGGCCTTGTTGATGAGGCCAGTAAATTGCCTAATTGCAACTGTGAATCCCTAGTACAGTGCAGAGGCGTGATGCCGACTCTATATAAGTATGGCTTCACATTTGGGAATGCAGTTGCATTGAACGGCAAAAACTCTCATAAGAAGTGCTCCAACTTCTACGAAATGCTAAAAAGTTATCGAATCAGAGCACTTCGAACACTATTCAACAAGTGTGACGACTTCATCTGGGCCATCAGAACACCATTCACATACCTCTTATTAGCCCTCTGGTCCCTCTCCTTGCTCTACCTGCTGCACATCGCCGTCGTCCGCCTCGACGTCCTGAGGATACGCTCCCACCTGAGATCGCCCTCAAGCCACCGCATCGCCGCGCAGTCATTACTCGCCGCACGCGTCAAGGCACTCGCCAACGCTTGGTACTTTCACCATAACGTGCCTTCACCACTCATCATCAACCAATCACCCACTCACCCACTTCACTCACTCAACCACCCACGCCACTCAACTCACCCACTCACTCTCAACTACTCACATTCACTCTACTCCTACTCCACTCTCAATTACTCCACTCAACTACATTTCAACCATACCTTACCATCCTTCATTTTAATTACTTCACTACTCTTTCCTTTACTTTTCATTGGTTGCTTTGTTTCTTGCTCTCATCATTTCTCACTCTCTTGTTGGTCTTCACTTAAATACTTCATTTTTCCTTTTCTCCACTCTCTAAATTTTTTTCCAGCTATTCTCTACCTCTTTTCGCCCTTCTTCACTCACCTTGTCCACTCTACCTCGCTGCTCTTGACTTAAAATCCTTTTCCAACTCCCTAATCCCCTTAAATGTCTTTACACTTTTTAATGCTTACATTTGCCTATCAATCTCCTCAAAATGCCTCTGAAATTGTCAAGTTTAATAAGGATCTTCAGTCTCATAATGCTTCCAAGAGGTCTCTTGAGACACTGAAAGAGCTTTGTGGATATGCTGATAAAATTCAAAAAAATCTTGTTGACCAAAATCCTTCTAAAAATCTTTTAGAAAGCCTCTGCACAGGCCTCGAAAAATTTCTCGGCTACGAGAAAGGGAATTACACCGGAGAGGGCATCGTGTACTCCGACCTTGACAGGCTCTGCGACGGGGTGATGGCGTTTATCCTCCAATGTCTTCAAGGCAGTAAAACGCTTTTACATCATTATTATCCTCAGATTATTGACACTATAAGAGATTTAGAGAGTAAAATAGGTAAGGGCCTTGGTGTTCCAGGATTTGCGCAGGCCATTGGGATTGTGCAGGCGGGGCTTCAGGGGTATGAGAGTGGATTGACGAGTAAAAGTAAGAAGGTTGTAGATGATATAAGCACAATAAAATCACAAATAGACACTTATAAATCACACGTAAAGTCACCTGAATTCCTTAATATGAATTTGACTGACCAGTTACATGACGTGTCCATTAGAGCTATGTTCTTCGATAAGAAGGCAGGCGAAGCCGTGGAGGCTGCAGGCCAACTAGATGATGTGTTGAAAAGTAAGCTCGATAAGCCTGTAAGTCTGCTTAAGCAGGGCGCTGAAAACTTTAAATCCGTTAACACAGATGGCAAACTTCAACATCAGGCCCGGGCAGTGGACACCGCGCTTACGACTCAAAGAAGCGTTTTGAATAATGCCATTGAACATCAATCAAAAAATGTTCAGGAAGTGCTAAATAGTGGTTTTGAGAAACTGCAGAGTGAATTGACTACGTTTAGAACTGTGCAATTGAAGAATGAAATTAAGCAGATTAAGGCTTCTGTGACCGAAGCCGAAATTGCAGCAAGTGGATTGCTTGAGAGATTTGAGAATGAGTATAGGATAAAGATTGAGAAGCTATTTACTGGGTTAAAAGAACAAATGGATGATATTAATACCGCAAATGCCGATCCCGTTGGAAAACAATCCAAGCTGAAACAAAAAGTAAATGAAATCCAGGACCAGGTTCGAATCATGGACGATGCATGTAAAGCAAAATTAAAGGCGATTTGGGAGCATGTGACGAGTAAGGTTGGAAAAACTGATGGCGATGCGGGTAGTGTTCTCCATGGTCTCACAAAATTAGATGCTCATGTCACAGCAGGATTAGAGAGGGTGAGGGAGAGCCTTAAGACTACGCTGAAGTCATTTATTACGGAACAGCTGGGAGGATATCTACAGAGTAGCATTACGGCAGCTAATGAGCACGATTTTAAAAATGGTACCAGGCCCGGTCTACAGGCGTTGCAAACTGTTAAGTTGGGAAGCGACTTAGGAAACTTAGATACGTTTAGGCAACAGCTTGCTCAGCTTACACAAGTTACTACCGCAGTTGTAGACAATGACCCGAAAAGAACTTTGCCGAAATTATAGAGTACATTTTGTTCTACGTGAATAAAGTACAGAGTGGTGAGTCACCTTTCGACCACAACACGAAGGCATCTTTTGCTCAGCTTACTTCCACCCTTAAAAATGATATAAATGACATTATTGATAAGATGCTGAATGACGAGATTGGAGATGGTAATGGTGAGAAAGACCCAATACGACTCCGAACAGATTCAGATTCAGATTCAGATGATGGAAGTGGTCTCATGTCAGATTACGTGAAGCAGACAAAAGTCGGCACCGGAACGTTCAGACAACAGATTGATGAGATTCGAAAAAGGTTTGAGAATGAATTCGACCCTAATAATGGAATAATTATCCAACATATTCCTACGTATGTCGACGCCGAAGTGACGTATAAGGCTGCCTTGAGTATTGTGCTTGAAACGATCGGCAAACTGGAGAAGTTGCCGGGCGCTGTGGATGATGCTAAAGTTGCTGCAAACGAATTGATGAGTGTTTTGAGGGAGGAGGTTGAGACAGTTAAAAGTATGATTATAGAAATAACCCCAGTTGTCGATGACGTTGAAAGCCAGTTGGAGATCGCCATAAAGTCAATTGAAGATACGGTTCTCATTACGAAAGATAATGCTACACTATCTATATCCGAATTACGAGGAGACCTCACCCAAAAAGTCTCCTCCGTCTTCTCAACCATCACTGCCCAAGTTCACGTCCTCTTCGCGAAGCAGAAGCAGGCCGAGCTGGCGCAGCTGCAGACCGTCGTCACGGCGCAGTTGGAGGCGATTGGAAGGATTATTGCGGAGGATAAAGCAACAGGGGTGAAGGGATTCTTGGGGAAGATGAAGACATGTATTAACGGAATGCGTCACACTGATCTGCCGTATAGACTGGACGAAAAAATACAATTCCCCCCGCTTGTAATAAAAGTTCAAGATTTCTTCATACCATTGTTTGATTATATTATAACGCAAATCACGCCAACAAGCACGCAGGCGTCGTCTCAACCTCCCACTTCACTTCCTAGATCCCAGCCTCAGACTCCAGATCCCCACGTTACCAAAGTCACTGGCATTAAAAATAAGCTGGAGACATTACTTAGCAAGTTAACCACTTCACAGCATTTCGATGACACTTTTAAGCAAAATCTAGCCGCACTAGTAGAATCGGTGAAAGAGTTAAGAGCCACAGAGTTTGGCGAAGGAATCCATCCCAAGCTTCTCAACATAGTGAGAACAGCGATGACAGACTTCGACACACAATTAGATTACGCATATGTCAGTAGGTATTCCTGTCAAACGATAAGATGGACTAGAGTCAGTAAACCTAATGAGTTCACCGATGATGCCAAGAAATGTGCGAAAGTTCTAATGAGCATAATTCAAACATTCCACCGTGATTTGTATGGACTGTTCTATGACATAGACGATAACGACGCCGCTGCAGATCAAATTAATGCACATGCTGCCTTTCTAGGCGATGCTCTGCAAGACTACGGTTACATATTAGCAACGGAATTTGAGAAGCAGGACGGTGAATTGTTCAATGACAGTAAGACTAACGGCGAGAAAATTAAGACACTTCTCAGTGGGCTCACGAATAGCAAGAATGACAGCGTCCTTAATCATCTTAACAATTTCCTCACTTTATATTACAAGGTTTCTCACCTTAGAACCACGTCGTCGTCAAGTGCTAAATACCCCTGCACAGTTAGAGACATGTTGGCGTGGCTTGGTGGTTTGCCGTATACCACCGTGTCGACAAAAATTAAGCAGCATTGTAAAGACTTAATTGATGATGACAAATATAATAATGATGACATCCTTAAAACCGTGCTTACGAATATAGACCTTCGCGTCACTGCAGCCTGTAGAAATGCTTACGATGTCCTCACCGCAATACAGGGCCACGGTCACGGTTCGCAAACCGCTGACTACCCATATGCCTACAATTTACTAGACAATTATAAGAACTTCCATTATCCTTCGAAGGTTTCTGACTTATTAGATATGTTAATCCAAATATGTACACGTCTGCAGCGTTCACTCTACTTTTTGTATTCGCAATGTCAGAACACTTTAGGCGAAGGCAACGGCTGGCGTGATTGCTGGTACGGCGGGGGCATTGCACCATCAAATTGGCCATGTACCGACCACTCAACCGACAAAGCTACGTGTCAACCTAGGTGCCAGGCAAATGGCCAGCCAAATTGCAAACCAAACTGTCAACCAAAATCGCCTCTTCAGTCCTACCTAAACGATTGTCTTCCTGGTCACCTACCTCACAAATTATCTTCCATTGGTTGCAACTCTATTTGTTCGACATGTCCTACGACATCACCTGGACAGCAGTGCGTTACCCCGATGGGCTTTTGGGATCTGACCGAGTCGGCGTCCCATACGAAGCAGGGGAGTCATATATCCAATGTATTAAAAGTAATATGTGGCAATGCATCGTCAATTTTGCCCACATTACTGAACTATCTAACGCACATATCGCCGATGCCACCAAAACGTTGGCCGATCAATTTTCATTCTTTACGAATATCTTCAAACAGTGGTCATCTGGGAGGTATAGTGAACATTTCGGCCTAATAGGCCATATGAAATCGAATGCAATTCCGACAACATCTATAAATCTTTATGCCTCCAAAGCGGGAGAACTTACCCAGCATTTCGAATCACTGTCTGGTCCGAGATATGACCACAAGAGTAACGTTTACAGTGGTGTAAGCCACTCGGATCTCTATAGCCTTTGTATGCAGGTCGCGATACATTCCGATGTCACATGCTCAGCCGAAAATATGTATTGCGCTCCATATATGCAACCCCTATGCCACGACGCCAATCACACATATCCCAAGAAATTTGCAAAACTATATTTGTCGTGGCTCACTTATTTGGTCTTTGATTTCTACTCTTTGCTCAAATCGCTGCTCGATTCCTTCTGCGATATTGACTGTAAAGCTTGTGGATGCTCGAGATGTAAGTGCGCAGCAGGAATGCACGGTAAACCATTCCAGTGTACGTGCAAGAGTTTTGCGCACTGCCGTGGTGTACGTACTACACTCTACAAATATGGATTCACATTAGGAAACCCGAAAATATTGATTAAAAACCCAAATAGAAGATTTTGTCATACATTCTACGATCAATTTAGCAAGGTATTAAATTCCAAGTACTTCAAAAACCTATTTGAAGCTTGTAATGATTTCGTATTCAGAATTCGTGAACCCTTCATCTGGACGCTCGTAGCCCTCTGGTCGCTGTCGCTCCTCTACCTGCTGCACATCGCCGTCGTCCGCCTCGACGTCCTGAGGATACGCTCCCACCTGAGATCGCCCTCAAGCCACCGCATCGCCGCGCAGTCGCTACTCGCCGCCGCACGCGTCAAGGCACTCGCCAACGTCAAGTACTTCTCACCATAATCGTGCCTTCACCCACTCACTCACTCAACCAATCACCCACTCACCCACTCACTCACTCAACCACCCACCCACTCAACCACCCACCCACTCAACCACTCAACCACCCACCCACTCAACCACTCACCCACTCAACCACTCACCCACTCACCCACTCAACCACCCACTCAACCACTCAACCACATACTCACCCACTCACCCACCCACTCACTCAACCACCCACTCACCCCTCCTTCACTGGTCGCTTCGCTCCCTGCCCCTCACCCCCTCCATCACCTCCTCCGTCGGCGTCCTTCTCCCAAATCCTCATTTTCCACTTCCTCCCTCCACCCCCAAAACCGCCTTACCTCATCCCATCTTCCCCCTTCATCGCCCTCTTTCGCCCCTTCACCTGCCTCACCCTGTCCACCCACCTCCCTCGCTCCCTCACTGCCTCCTTGACCTAAAATCGCCTTTCCCCAAAATCCCCCAAATCGCCCTGAATATGTGCATAATAATCCACATGATTCACTTACTAACCTGTGCTCTGGCTTGGAGAAGTTCCTTGGTTACCAAGAAACTTCCAAAGGCTACTCGGGCGATGGCATCGTGTACTCGGACCTTGACAGGCTGTGCGACGGGGTGATGGCGTTTCTCCTCCAATGTCTTCAAGGCAGTAAAACACTTTTACATCATTATTATCCCCAGATTATTGACACTATAAGAGGTTTAAAAGGTAAAATAGGTAAGGGCTCTGGTGTTTTAGGATTTGCGCAGGCCATTGGGATTGTGCAGGCGGGGCTTCAGGGGTATGAGAGTGGATTGACGAGTAAAAGTAAGAAGGTTGTAGATGATATAAGCACAATAAAATCACAAATAGACACTTATAAATCACACGTAAAGTCACCTGAATTCCTTAATATGAATTTGACTGACCAGTTACATGACGTGTCCATTAGAGCTATGTTCTTCGATAAGAAGGCAGGCGAAGCCGTGGAGGCTGCAGGCCAACTAGATGATGTGTTGAAAAGTAAGCTCGATAAGCCTGTAAGTCTGCTTAAGCAGGGCGCTGAAAACTTTAAATCCGTTAACACAGATGGCAAACTTCAACATCAGGCCCGGGCAGTGGACACCGCGCTTACGACTCAAAGAAGCGTTTTGAATAATGCCATTGAACATCAATCAAAAAATGTTCAGGAAGTGCTAAATAGTGGTTTTGAGAAACTGCAGAGTGAATTGACTACGTTTAGAACTGTGCAATTGAAGAATGAAATTAAGCAGATTAAGGCTTCTGTGACCGAAGCCGAAATTGCAGCAAGTGGATTGCTTGAGAGATTTGAGAATGAGTATAGGATAAAGATTGAGAAGCTATTTACTGGGTTAAAAGAACAAATGGATGATATTAATACCGCAAATGCCGATCCCGTTGGAAAACAATCCAAGCTGAAACAAAAAGTAAATGAAATCCAGGACCAGGTTCGAATCATGGACGATGCATGTAAAGCAAAATTAAAGGCGATTTGGGAGCATGTGACGAGTAAGGTTGGAAAAACTGATGGCGATGCGGGTAGTGTTCTCCATGGTCTCACAAAATTAGATGCTCATGTCACAGCAGGATTAGAGAGGGTGAGGGAGAGCCTTAAGACTACGCTGAAGTCATTTATTACGGAACAGCTGGGAGGATATCTACAGAGTAGCATTACGGCAGCTAATGAGCACGATTTTAAAAATGGTACCAGGCCCGGTCTACAGGCGTTGCAAACTGTTAAGTTGGGAAGCGACTTAGGAAACTTAGATACGTTTAGGCAACAGCTTGCTCAGCTTACACAAGTTACTACCGCAGTTGTAGACAATGACCCGAAAAAGAACTTTGCCGAAATTATAGAGTACATTTTGTTCTACGTGAATAAAGTACAGAGTGGTGAGTCACCTTTCGACCACAACACGAAGGCATCTTTTGCTCAGCTTACTTCCACCCTTAAAAATGATATAAATGACATTATTGATAAGATGCTGAATGACGAGATTGGAGATGGTAATGGTGAGAAAGACCCAATACGACTCCGAACAGATTCAGATTCAGATTCAGATGATGGAAGTGGTCTCATGTCAGATTACGTGAAGCAGACAAAAGTCGGCACCGGAACGTTCAGACAACAGATTGATGAGATTCGAAAAAGGTTTGAGAATGAATTCGACCCTAATAATGGAATAATTATCCAACATATTCCTACGTATGTCGACGCCGAAGTGACGTATAAGGCTGCCTTGAGTATTGTGCTTGAAACGATCGGCAAACTGGAGAAGTTGCCGGGCGCTGTGGATGATGCTAAAGTTGCTGCAAACGAATTGATGAGTGTTTTGAGGGAGGAGGTTGAGACAGTTAAAAGTATGATTATAGAAATAACCCCAGTTGTCGATGACGTTGAAAGCCAGTTGGAGATCGCCATAAAGTCAATTGAAGATACGGTTCTCATTACGAAAGATAATGCTACACTATCTATATCCGAATTACGAGGAGACCTCACCCAAAAAGTCTCCTCCGTCTTCTCAACCATCACTGCCCAAGTTCACGTCCTCTTCGCGAAGCAGAAGCAGGCCGAGCTGGCGCAGCTGCAGACCGTCGTCACGGCGCAGTTGGAGGCGATTGGAAGGATTATTGCGGAGGATAAAGCAACAGGGGTGAAGGGATTCTTGGGGAAGATGAAGACATGTATTAACGGAATGCGTCACACTGATCTGCCGTATAGACTGGACGAAAAAATACAATTCCCCGCTTGTAATAAAAGTTCAAGATTTCTTCATACCATTGTTTGATTATATTATAACGCAAATCACGCCAACAAGCACGCAGGCGTCGTCTCAACCTCCCACTTCACTTCCTAGATCCCAGCCTCAGACTCCAGATCCCCACGTTACCAAAGTCACTGGCATTAAAAATAAGCTGGAGACATTACTTAGCAAGTTAACCACTTCACAGCATTTCGATGACACTTTTAAGCAAAATCTAGCCGCACTAGTAGAATCGGTGAAAGAGTTAAGAGCCACAGAGTTTGGCGAAGGAATCCATCCCAAGCTTCTCAACATAGTGAGAACAGCGATGACAGACTTCGACACACAATTAGATTACGCATATGTCAGTAGGTATTCCTGTCAAACGATAAGATGGACTAGAGTCAGTAAACCTAATGAGTTCACCGATGATGCCAAGAAATGTGCGAAAGTTCTAATGAGCATAATTCAAACATTCCACCGTGATTTGTATGGACTGTTCTATGACATAGACGATAACGACGCCGCTGCAGATCAAATTAATGCACATGCTGCCTTTCTAGGCGATGCTCTGCAAGACTACGGTTACATATTAGCAACGGAATTTGAGAAGCAGGACGGTGAATTGTTCAATGACAGTAAGACTAACGGCGAGAAAATTAAGACACTTCTCAGTGGGCTCACGAATAGCAAGAATGACAGCGTCCTTAATCATCTTAACAATTTCCTCACTTTATATTACAAGGTTTCTCACCTTAGAACCACGTCGTCGTCAAGTGCTAAATACCCCTGCACAGTTAGAGACATGTTGGCGTGGCTTGGTGGTTTGCCGTATACCACCGTGTCGACAAAAATTAAGCAGCATTGTAAAGACTTAATTGATGATGACAAATATAATAATGATGACATCCTTAAAACCGTGCTTACGAATATAGACCTTCGCGTCACTGCAGCCTGTAGAAATGCTTACGATGTCCTCACCGCAATACAGGGCCACGGTCACGGTTCGCAAACCGCTGACTACCCATATGCCTACAATTTACTAGACAATTATAAGAACTTCCATTATCCTTCGAAGGTTTCTGACTTATTAGATATGTTAATCCAAATATGTACACGTCTGCAGCGTTCACTCTTTTTGTATTCGCAATGTCAGAACACTTTAGGCGAAGGCAACGGCTGGCGTGATTGCTGGTACGGCGGGGGCATTGCACCATCAAATTGGCCATGTACCGACCACTCAACCGACAAAGCTACGTGTCAACCTAGGTGCCAGGCAAATGGCCAGCCAAATTGCAAACCAAACTGTCAACCAAAATCGCCTCTTCAGTCCTACCTAAACGATTGTCTTCCTGGTCACCTACCTCACAAATTATCTTCCATTGGTTGCAACTCTATTTGTTCGACATGTCCTACGACATCACCTGGACAGCAGTGCGTTACCCCGATGGGCTTTTGGGATCTGACCGAGTCGGCGTCCCATACGAAGCAGGGGAGTCATATATCCAATGTATTAAAAGTAATATGTGGCAATGCATCGTCAATTTTGCCCACATTACTGAACTATCTAACGCACATATCGCCGATGCCACCAAAAACGTTGGCCGATCAATTTTCATTCTTTACGAATATCTTCAAACAGTGGTCATCTGGGAGGTATAGTGAACATTTCGGCCTAATAGGCCATATGAAATCGAGTGCAATTCCGACAACATCTATAAATCTTTATGCCTCCAAAGCGGGAGAACTTACCCAGCATTTCGAATCACTGTCTGGTCCGAGATATGACCACAAGAGTAACGTTTACAGTGGTGTAAGCCACTCGGATCTCTATAGCCTTTGTATGCAGGTCGCGATACATTCCGATGTCACATGCTCAGCCGAAAATATGTATTGCGCTCCATATATGCAACCCCTATGCCACGACGCCAATCACACATATCCCAAGAAATTTGCAAAACTATATTTGTCGTGGCTCACTTATTTGGTCTTTGATTTCTACTCTTTGCTCAAATCGCTGCTCGATTCCTTCTGCGATATTGACTGTAAAGCTTGTGGATGCTCGAGATGTAAGTGCGCAGCAGGAATGCACGGTAAACCATTCCAGTGTACGTGCAAGAGTTTTGCGCACTGCCGTGGTGTACGTACTACACTCTACAAATATGGATTCACATTAGGAAACCCGAAAATATTGATTAAAACCCAAATAGAAGATTTTGTCATACATTCTACGATCAATTTAGCAAGGTATTAAATTCCAAGTACTTCAAAAACCTATTTGAAGCTTGTAATGATTTCGTATTCAGAATTCGTGAACCCTTCATCTGGACGCTCGTAGCCCTCTGGTCGCTGTCGCTCCTCTACCTGCTGCACATCGCCGTCGTCCGCCTCGACGTCCTGAGGATACGCTCCCACCTGAGATCGCCCTCAAGCCACCGCATCGCCGCGCAGTCGCTACTCGCCGCCGCACGCGTCAAGGCACTCGCCAACGTCAAGTACTTCTCACCATAATCGTGCCTTCACCCACTCACTCACTCAACCAATCACCCACTCACCCACTCACTCAACACCTACCCACTCAAGAACTTAAGTACCTAATTTCAACTACCCACCCACTCACTACTGACCACCCATCCCGACTTCACCATCTTCATCGACTTAACTTATCACATCACGACTTTATTATTGCTTAGAGCCTTCTCTGATATTTCATCTCTTGTTGAGAAGTCTCACTTAAATCTTATTTCACTTTTCTTCACTTTACGTCTTTGAAACATCGCTTTCTATGTTCTTCTTTTACTCTTTCTTTACCTTGTCTCTACCGACTCTCTTGTTGTTTCTTGATTTAATTGTTTAATTTCTAATTGCCTTCCAATAGTTTGGCTAATTTTTTCAATATTTCTTTAATCTTATATATTCCTTATTAGTCTTGGTCACTTTTTTGTTAATACTTCTGTATTATCGCGTTGTCTTGCTCTTGACGTCCTGAGGATGTTCTGGCTCCAGACGTCAGCCACTGCATCGTTGCAGTCCTCCTTCCTCGTTGCTGCACAAGCGTTGGCAGCACTCTCGCACGTCATTTCTCACTATAATCGTGCCTTCACTACACTCACTCTTCACCTTACCACTCTCAATTCACCTTAATTCCACTCATCACCTGCCTACTCACTCATTTCTTCACTTCAAACTATTCCACCCACTACCCACTTCACCTACTTTACTTCTAACTCACCACCTCACTCCAATTCCACTCTACTCACTTGCTAAATCTACTTCACCCACTCTTCACCTACTACCTTCATATCTACTTCAACGCATCGATTCATCGAATTATTTATCTTAGACGATTTAACGAGATTTAAATAATCTATTTGTGCATTATTAGAGCTTCATTACTTTCTATTGATTTCCTATCTCATTTTCCATTTTCTTCTTCTAAACTGCCTTATTCCATCGGATTTTCTTCCTCCATTGCCTTTTGCTCTTTTTCATTTCTTTAGTCTGTTCACTCCATCCCTCTTTGCTCCTTGACCTAAAATTGTCCCTAATTTAATTCCTTAATATGTGATGGATCTCTTTATTCCCTTTAATTCTCCCTTAATACACCTTCAATCCAAGTATAAAGACCATTATAATGACGTTCATTACCTTACAGATGATGCCAGGGGAAGGGCCTTGAAGGATCTTGCTGAACGCCGTATCCTCTTGGTAAGCTCAAGGACAGCTGGATTTATTGGCGGGGGAGATGAAGTTAAAGATGCATTGTTGAATGGTTTGCACAGTAATGTAAATCAGCTTGAAAAGCTTTTAAAAACATCTTGCGGAGATAAGGGGTGTAATTGTAATATTATGAATTTCCGTGATGGACCTCTCAAAAATCTTCAAAATAAATTTAATGAAGTTGATAAAATTGAAACAAAAATTGATAGCCTTAAAAAGCAAAAAGATGAAAAAAGTGAGGCGTCCTTAGGGACGCCGTCCGACAGTGATGCTGAGATTAAGGAGCTTGAAAGGGAAATTGAGCAAGAAAAATTGAAGCTTGAAGAAAAAGAAAGAGATCGTGATGTGCAAATTACTGCGCTTCAAACTCAATTAAAAGAGCCTGAAAACAAAATTTTGACTGAGATTGACAGGCTTAATGAGAAAATTACTGAGCTCCAAAGGAAAATTGATGAGCATAAAAAGACAGAAAAGGATAAAAATCCTGATAAAAAAGTTGAAGATATCTCCATTCCCTACAGTCTTTCTAGTCAGCTTGCAACTGAGCAGGCTAAATTGCAGTCTCATCAGGCTTCCTTGAAGTCTCTTCAAAGTCTTGAAAAGCTTATTACATTTCATCAGAATGTTCAATCTAAAAAAGGTGATGAATGTAAAGATATTTTAAGCAATCTGTGTACAGGTCTCCAAACATTTTTAGGGTACGATGAAACTTCCAAAGGCTACGATGGCTCCGGCATCGTCTACTCCGACCTTGACAGGCTGTGCGACGGGGTGATGTCTTTCCTTCGTGGTGTTTTACATAACATTCAGCCTAAATTAGGCTTACATAGTAGTAAAATAAATAATGCAATTGAGTCTCTTAAGCTTCATAAACACTCTGGTAAAGATGGTTTTAATGCTGCGATTGGCGCAGTGGTGGAGGGGGTGAGGCAGTATAATGAGGGTGTGAGGGAGTCGAACAAAAAGGTGAGTGATGTTATTAATACTTTGCAGGGACAAGTCGACGAAGGCTTCAAAAATGCCGTAAGTTTTATTTTACGTGATAATGTTGTTTCAGGTAAGAAGGTAGAGCCTACTGAAAAAGACGTCACGGAGGCCGAAAGGCAGATTAATCTCAAGCTGGAAGAGTGCAAGAAATATGCTGAGACATTCATCACTAACTTAGACACTTCACGTAGCCCACATAAAGAATCAATTAACGACCTAAATGCTAATTTGCGTGATAAGCTTGAGAACGTGCGTAGGACTGTGCAGTATGAGAGTGCGCGGTTGGGGAGGGTGAAGGGGCAAGAGGAGAAGGTGTTGAAAGCAACGGAAGCGGAGATAAAGAAAGTGTTGGAAGAGCTTCAGACATGTGTCTGCAGTAAAATTGATACGCAGGTGAAATTGCTTGTTAACAAGTTGAAGCAAGAGGTTACCGAAATTTTGAAAAAGCTTAAGCAGATTAACACTACCATGCAATCATACGTTAAACATTTAGGAGAGTGGATTGAGAAGGCGGATGATGCAATTGACAAGGCTTTAGAAAAGGTCCGGAAAATATTGGAGGACATTGATGAAACTTCTTTCTATAAATATCCTTCTCAAATCACCCAGGCAGCGCAACAGATTGAAGCATCAACCACCGTTCTTCATGGGAAATTTACAGAGTTGAAGGACAAGTATGAGGAGGTTTATACGAAGATTAAGGGGGCGGATGGAACTGGACAAGGTGAACAAGGCGGCGCGGTAGGAAAGCTTAAAGAGGTTAAAGGTAAAGTGAATCCACCGCAAACGTTTGATGGATTTGACAAGATGAATGGTGATTGGCCTCTAAAATATTCGATTGTTTTCCTCACAACGCAAATTGAAAGCAATGTTAAGGGCTTTGTGGACGCATTTAAGGACGCATTGGTGGCGGGTATTAATAAGGCAGAGGTTAGTTATGGCAGTGGTGTGTCAGTTGTTAGTAGACAGACGCCTGCTATAGACGCCATGGTTGGTAAGCTGGGTCAGATGTTTAAGAATAAGCTTGGTCAGGACTTCAAAGGGAAGTTAGTACCGCGACTCGAGGTGGCAAAAGGAGACCCCGGCCTTGCCATCAATCTAGAAAATTTATTAAAACATCTGAAAGATGGAAAGACACATTGGAATACCATTACACCCCCCAAAGTCCGCGAGGATATTCTGTCGGATCTCAAAAGTGACCTTGAGACACATGCCACCGCCATCAAAAAGCAGCTGGGAGATCTCCTCAACGAGGCGGCCACTAATGGTGTGACAAATACGCAGAAGGCAGTCACTGAAATCGTTCGTGAAAATCTCGAGTCTATTCAAAAGTTAAATGGCGATATTGAAGGCACCGCAGAGTTGGAAAAAGTTGCGCTGCAAACACATGCCCAGGATGTAATCAACAAACTCAAAGCTCTTTGCAAAGGTATCAAGGAAGCTGCCGACACCGATCCTAACAGTGCCAAAACGAAAATAACTCTGCTGAAGGAAACGTACTTTAAGGAGTATGACTCTACTAAATCACAGGAGTCGAAGGATAGCATCAACAAAATCCATGCTGAACTTGGCCTTGTACGTAGCAAAATACAGGCTGAGCCTATTGCGGAGCTTGAGAAATTCCTAAAAGACGCCGAAATAACTGAAAAACGTTACGTCAAAGAACTCCAGCGACAAGTTACCTCCGAAATAAAATCCGCCCAAACCAAACTCACCACCCACGCGCGCAGGCAGTACGTCGAGGCCCTCAAGTTCCTACTCACCGAATTTGCGACGAAGGTTGGAAACGAGCTAAATGGATTGCCGGACAAAATTGCTGCAGACTTGGATCAAGGCCACAAAAAATTCATGACGTTCCATGACACTTTCCTTAACAAGCTCAATGGTATTAAAGATATTCCTCACATATCGCCCCCGGGAGAAAACTCTCCACTCAGCAAGGCGGTACTTAAAGTAAGAAAGGGCTTTGAAAACTTTTTTGAGAGTTTTCAAGAGCAAGAGGAGACTACAAATTACAAAGCCCAAGTCCAACATGTCTACGCCAATATAAATATCTTTATGAAACAGCTTGCAGGTTCCCAACATTTCGATACTCTATTCAGCTCTAATGTCCAAGGCTTGCAGAACGTTCTTACTCACTTCAGCGCAGAAACGTTCAACGACGCCTCAAAGCCTCTGTTGTTACCGGTCAAACATGGATTACAAGATTTTGCCAAGGTGTTATCCAAGGCGTACCTAAACGTGTACGAGGGCTGCGATCCTATAAGTGATTGGGTCGACGAGAAAAACAAATTAACGCCTGAAGGAGAGAAGGGCGCTAAAATATTTTTGACATTATTAAGCATCGTCTGCTCACCCCTAATCAAGCTGTATGGAGAGGTCAATGCACCAGATGGTAAATGGAGAGACTACAGAATATACAATCCAGAGAATGCTCGTATTAGCTTGCGTAGACACTTTTTCATTAGGAACGGTTACGATGTCGGCCATACCAGCAAGGTGGACGGCGAACTGAATCACAAGGCAGGCTTCACGGGTCAGAACATTTTCCAGAATCTTAATGAAGCCATAAACGGTGCAAGATTCAACGATCATCTCACAATATGTGAGCCAAATACTAAAGTAGATAACTTTAACGTCATGGACCTCCTTGACTGTCTTACCACTCACTTAAATGAATATATTGAGACTTGTCACATTAATCACATTGCTACACCAAAAACACCTAGCAACATATACCAAATGCTCTGCTGGGTCAATGGCCTTTGGTATAATCCAGTACGTGACCCACTTTGTGAATACCTTAAGACATTGTTCGACAAACCTGAGGGGAAGAAGGAGATGGAATATTACGATTTTGCTCCTGACGACCTGACGATGTCTGCTCATCCAAGAAATTTCTCAGCTGCGGACGTTCATTATGGGCTCCGCATTGCTTGCGAACAATCCCACAATGTGCTCACTTCAATCCTCGGCTTCGGCCACGCAAGTGGCATATACGCAGTTGACTGCGCTAACAACTCACTTAATTTGCATTATCCCACAAACATGACATCATTAATATGCTTGCTGTTAGATATCTTTAAACGCCTATACCACCAGCTTTATTTTGTGTTTAAACAGTGTGAGTATAACCGTGACCTCAGTGGTTGGAGTGGTTGCCACTACGGCAGAGGCATTGCTGGCTCCGGCTGGCAGTGCAATGAGAAGCAATGTCCTAACCAAACATGTGACCAAAAGCATGACCAAATATGCAACCAAAACTGTAACCAAAGTGTTAAGTGCGGCCTTAAGTCGCCGCTTCAGTCCTTCTTAGAGGACGGACTTCCTGCTTTTTTGCCACATCAAGTGAAGTCTGAGAGAGGCAAACTTGAGTGCCTTCACTGATATCAGCCATATGGCATCGCATACGCACGTTGGTAAAACTTACAGACATGCC